AAGAACTTCTTACTGTGCAAGAAGCCAGATCTTCATCTACCACACTGCTTGTGGATCAACATGAATTGCTCTCTGGTCAATTCATTGTGATGATCCATAAAGCAGGTGCACATCCTGATTCATACTGGAGCTTATAACGACCTTACTGGATTGTCTAAAGAGTCTAATGCTGAATTCCGTCAATAAGAATACAGTTGTATGGCATACGACTACACAGCTTTGATTAAGAGAGGGATGTTTGCCTTGTAAAGGATACATGATGGAAAAAAATGGAAGTAAAGCTGTACAAAAATACAAACACCTTTACAGTAATAAACGTTTGAGCACAAACTTAAACAGTAACACAGGTCTTCAGAATCCTCAGGTTTTGTAATACTAATATTAAAGTTGGAAATCAAAAAAGATTAAATTTTGTGTATAAAGCAACCATTTGGCAATTACAGAGCGACAAAGTCAAAATAACAGCTAGGAAGTCAGGTAAGAAAACAGAAAATGCTGATGTGCAGGTTGCTGGCAAAGTTTGTTTCTCAATATCATTGTATAATAGTTAGCCAAAAAGAGGTTATGACCTAACATGCCAATCTAATGTAAATGTAACAGATTCTAGAGACGCAGTAAATATTTACCTTTACAGTTAAAACTGTGTTGAAATATTAAGAACAGCTATATTATATAAATGTTCTTAAAGTTTCATAAAAACAAAGCCTAGAGAAAAAACATATCTATTCCATGGGAGGATCTATGTATCTAGATTTCTGTAGTGATCTTTCAGTACTGTGAGACAACATATTAATAAAGTAACTATGTCAGGACTGTAATCCACAGCTTTCGCAAGCGATACGAGTGACATCATATCTCTGTGCCGCTGAGGTGCTCAGAATACAATACTTTAACAGCAGAGCAAATTTTAAACTTTTGTCAGCTTTTTTTCAACAATGATTAGCTTTTCAATAAAAACACTGAAGGAAAGAGACACAATGCCAACACAAAACAAATCTCATGTTGTCAAGAATCCTTCCTCATCAGAAACTGCTTGACTAAGATTAGCACTCTGCCTATGTTTACACTGAAATTTATTTCCTACAACAGTATCTGCAGAGAACAGTTCAAAAGAAAGAATCTTTGCAAAATTTGTATCCATTTAGACTCTCAAAGATTTCTTTTTTTGTTTACCAGTAATTATCTAGATCTACTTGCAAGTTTCTATTCCAGATTTTTGTTCTGATAGAGTAACAATTCAAGAACAATCAATTAACTGCTCTGTACCCTCTAATAATTAAAGTGCAGGCCGTGAAACCCTAGACACTAATTTACCCAGCAGGTCCTCAACTTGTTCATGAAAGGTTCATTCAGACACTCAAATTTAACATAACCAGCTTTAATTCAAGTCTGCACTGGTGCTTCCTTGCAGACAGCAAACCAGCACCTACTGCCTGCTCTCAAAATGAAAAAGAGGAGACTCACTATTCAAGGAAACAGACCCCCTGAAAGCAGACTACTGGGCTAAGAAGATTAATAGAAAGGATGCAGGGATAAATCATGTCATTCCCCATTTATAATCCTATTCCACCACTGTTTGGTATCTCAAAAGCTGTCACAGGTGGAGACAGTGAGAACCTTCTCAGAGACCTGATAAAGGAAAACAAGAGTTTGGAACACTTGTCACAGTGGGGAATTTAGAGAAAACAGGTCAAGAAAAGAATGAAAAACCACACATAATTAGACCAATATCTAGCTCAAGACATACAGACACAACAGTTCACTATCAATCCAGATATCAGAAAAATGAAAGAATACAGATTCTGAATAGCCTTCCTTTATGTTACTTTAATATTCTTCAGAAGTGCAATAAAGTGATGTTCTATAAGCGATAGAGGGTTATAACACTAAAACATCTTACACTAGATCACCTCATCTGTTACCACAGACATTGTGGCCAAAAGAAAAAAAAAGAAAAGAAAAGAAAAGAAATCAGCTAATTCCTCTAAAGATTTTTGTTTAGCAATAAACATTCTTGTCATTCATTCTATGCTTTTAACCATATTCTGCTAATTCTCAGTTGTTTTTAGACACCCTCCTGAAAGCTTTGAAAGCTGCTTTACAATCTGGCATGCAACACTACATAAAGTAGTTGTAAAACATTGACATTAACATTGTATTTTGCATCTTGTTATGCTTGACCAAAACAAAAGACCAGATGTTTCTACTTTCATATAAAAATAGATTAGCTATACTATTTAAAAGATGTCCAAGACTTAGTTAACTAGTGATCTTGAGCACATTTATTTTATAAGAAGAAAGTGTACTAACCAAAATTAAAACAGATGTCAATCTAGTAGGTAAATGAAACAGCACTTTTCTAACATTTATGGTTAGTTACTGGGCTGACGTTGATGAAATTTTATCTGTTAAAACATGCTACCAATGTTTACCAACTAGTTTTAAAAAATAAATATTACTACAGTATTTTATGCACCATATACATTGAGATTATTATATTGAAACTAGAAAAGAAAGCTATTCTACTGATTTATGTCAGAAATAAAGTTGAGATTTTCACTGCTAACTCAAAACATACTACCTGAGGGATTCCATAACAGTTCATAAAATGTCTTTGTTTTAAAAAGGTATGGTCTGTGGTATATATTTTCTACGAAGAAACAGAAGAACACATGTAGCATCAGATGTGTGTACTTTAAGAAACTCTGGAATGTGAAATCTAAAAATCCAAATAAAGCAGGTGGTATAATTTGAGGGGGAGAACTGAATTTAAGTTTAATGACATTACCAGGTTATCCTACCAGACTAATTCTCACTCACTGCATGACTTCAATGAAGCTCTCAGTCCTCATGCTGATTTCGATTTAGTTCTAGTGCTATTTGATGCGTTTCATCTGGAGTTTTATTCACTTCAAACTACACTTCATTTAACCGGGCTGCTGCTGTACTCATTTGTTTTTCTACTTTATTACCCGCAAATTGGTGTTGCTTAGTTTAGATAAATTGTTGGAATAAGTTAATTTTATATAATTATTTCACACTGTTAATAAATAAATAAGCTTTAGAAAGATACTGTCTCACAGAAAAAAGCAAGAAAGCTATTAAAATTATTTTAGAATACACTAGACCACAGTAAGTGTTGGTCTGACAACATCTGCTAATAAATGCTGATAGATGATTTGCTATTTTACGGCAGGACCATTCCCCTGCCTCCACTCCCCAAAACTACTGCTTGTTTTTATTTTTCTATGTTATTAGTCTACCATACACTATTTTCCAGCTGGGCATGCATTGTAACACAATGTATTTTTAAAAAGAGAGAGAGAGAAAGATAGCAAGCAAGACAGAAAGCATGAGAGAGGAAGAGAATGCACAAGAGAATACGAGCATGAGACCGCTGGACACATGAGATAGAGCATGATGGCAATTGTGCAACTTTGCACACAGGAAAGTGTGAGAAACCAAGCACGGCGAGCTAGAGATCGAGCACAGTGAGCACAAGCACACACAAAAGACAGCGCAAGTGCACTCATGAGAAAGCAGCAGCACTTGAATGCCATGAACTTGTCAGATGACAGATTTTTTTCCAATCATTTGTCATCTCTAAAATAATATTTTTGTTTTGCACAACTAACCATGGGTTTTACAATGTACTAAATAAATTTAAATTTGCTATTAAATACTAATTTATTTCTACAGTTTAGCAACAAGAATCACTAACCAGAGCTTAGCGTTAAATGTCAGGTCATGTCAGGAAAGGCTGTCAATCCTACCAGAGTACTGAAGTACTCCAATTAGTGCTGCTTATGGGTTATCCTGGTAACATTTATTATTTTTCAGCAAAATGCCACAACAGAACAGCAATCCATTATAAGTGGTTAGTACTTGTAAACTATTGATGGAAAATATGAGAAAGTCAATTAGGCTGCTACCACCTGGTGGTGTGCTGATTACGCTAAAACCCTCTAGTATTTCACATGGTATCACAGCTTGTGAGAGAAATACTAGTATATTCTCTAGCACTATGAACAATCATACACGCAGTCTTTTTCTTTTTTTCTTTCTAACCCATTAAGCTTTCACAAACAAATGACTGTTACAAATTACCTATACAACACAGAACATTTGAAGCCAAAGTGTTTAACACATTAGCCTGTTTTCCTGCTATCTTGTTATTTTATGTAAGCTGGTTTTTGTATGGATTTAGTTATAAAGCAGTATTACAGACAGCTACTGCTCAAAATGAGGGATAAAGAGAACCAATGTTCTGTTCAAGGTATTTTCATTTTCTTGAAAATATTTTTATAAATACTATTTATTAATAAAAATATTTTATTGATAAAAATCTATTACGCATTAAAACTTATGATCACAAGATTTAACCTGTAGAACTGAATTTAAATACTGTACTTCCATGGCATTAAAGTAAAAAAAAAATATATCGTTCATTTATAATAAAGGACAGAATTGTTTTCAGAACAAAAGAGTTTGCATTTAAAGTCTGAAATATTACAAACAGCTCAATACCTGATCACAATGTTAAAACACTTCCAACTGTAAATACTAAACAAGAACAGGGGTGCCTTGGGTTGGGTTTTTGTTTTCCCCCATTTGTTGCTTTTTATGTGGTTGAGTTTAAAACAGAAAGAGCTGACCTCTTCAGTTAAACACATCAAGCTTGCCACCAGTATAACACTTCAGCTTTTGTGTCCATTCAAGGAAGAAGGGAAACTGGTTCACGTAATTCTACAAAGTCTAGACATAAGCCATTTACTCTGGGGCTTATGCAGCCTGCTTTCTCAAGCAAACTAGGGTCTAAAATGTTTATTAACAGCTATCCTTACAAAGAAATGTATTAATGATAACAGACTTAAAAGTAGAGAAGTAGAGAACAGTATTTTAGGGATATATATGGAGCTTAGCATTTTTAAACCATTCATTAAAAACACGAAAATATTTGAGTACATTACTTAAGCACACTGTACATGCTTAATGCTCACCAGTATTTGGGAAACTTGATCAGCTTGCCATAAACAGCAGTACTGAATGAGGGAATAACTGGAACAGGGAAGCAGTATAATCCTTTACTGTCCAGAGAAGTCAGTGCTGCTTGAAAACCAAATATCTGAAACAAATTAGTTTTGTCAAAGTGTATACTATCACATGATGAGATCACTTTCAAGTTACTTTTATAACATAATATACACATTTTTTTAATATACTCAATAAATATGAAACAAATTGTGTACTATTTTTAGATAATTCCTTTTTCCCCAAACACAAAAAACCCTAGAAAAACCTAAAATAACATCCCAATTGGAATACATAAAAAAATATTTTCTTTTCTCAAAATATATTAATGATGCTCTGCTGAATTATAATTTATCAACTAAAATACATTATTTTATATCCTTTAAATCTGCAGATTGCATATTGCCTTGCATATAAAGTAAATAAGTTTTTGTAATTATAATAAATTATATAAATTATAATAGATTATGTAAAATATATATTAAATTATAATTATAAAAGTGGTATTTAAGGAAATGAGAAGCTTCCATTCAAAGCTTTTTTCTTAATAAGACCATCTAAATAAAGGTTTATCACAACTATTCTTCATGATTTTTCCCTGTTCAATATAGAAAAGAAATGGTTGTAGAGATGACTTTTTAACATGCCGTACCACCATTCACATAACAGGAAACTTGGGTCTATATTAAAGCTAGCAAATAAACCCTATAAAAATCAAAATTCTAGTCCACGTTTTGCAAACGCTGCTCAAACAGCTGCTAAAAACTCTTTGAATAGAAACAAATCCCCTCAAACTGAAAAACATACAGATGACTTGCAATGTATCTATCCTGATCACTTTAAATGTGACAGAAGATAAACATGTCACCCAGAAAACTGAGAGCTTGCCATGCAATTCTTGTCAGTTTGTTTCATGCAGATAGTAAGAATTTCATTGTTTAAATCTCTTAAGATACCAGCATGGAATTGAATGGATAACTGAAAAAATTAGTAAAATTAACAGTACTAGTAGTAAATATTTACATCTTAGTAGCACCCAAAAGTTTTCAAACTGCCTGAGCGTAACCTAAAATGTTGGAAGGCCTGATTTAAATCTCTGCTTGAGATTTCACTTTTTCATTCTACTAAAATCTCAGCCGATGTCAACCAAATAATCTCAAAGCAATTTTTCAGTACTTTCTTAAACTTCCCCCAACCTCACAACAAGAACTCCTCTCACATAATGGATCTGTAACTGAGAACATTCAGAGGTTTTTCCTTTTATAACAAAACCCAACGAAATTGCTTGGCAACAGTTTCACTATCATGGTTTTGCTCTAACAATACTAGTAGAAGTGACTTTTTTTCCTCACAACTTCCCATCTAGTGTCCAGGTGTAATTCTCTGCAACCTGCAAATTCTTTGAGCATTATCCTAGAAGAGGGGAAATGTTTCCTCCCAAATTATTTTAACTCTATCTTGCCACAAAGACCTTGGGGCTTCAGTATGCCCAGTTTCCTCACGTTAAGTTCTCTGTTCATGTTACAAAACATTTGGCTCAGGTCAGAAGCAGCGATCCCAAATGAGGACATTCTGTGAAATGTTTTTACTCAATGTCCTTTTAGATAAACTGAAAACTTTCTCCCAGGAAACCCGCTAATGCTTAGGATTAACTACACTTACATAAACTTTTTCTAAGCACACTACAATAAAGAAACGGAACTCCAGCCTTCTTTTACCTTCAGATAGCAGTGTGAGTAACAGTAATGAAGCAGGTTGTCTGAGGGCTGGCTGAGGCTGCTGACCATGTGCACCAGTTGCTCGGCATACATCGGCACCGAGTGCTCCAGGTTAACCTTATCCACCAAAATTCGGATAGAAGGTAAAGGCCGCAGGGGCTGGAAGCTGGCTGCATTTAACAGTCCACTTAAGTTCTAAGGGAGGAGGGAAAAAAAACATGCAATTATTACTCTACAGAGGTATTATCTAGCATACTTGCATATTCTTACCTCCCCAGCCGCACAAGCAAATCTACATGTAATAAACTGTTTACAGACAGAATAGCCTATGATCATTGTAATACGAATCCTCAAATCTTTGTAAAATAATTTCTTTGAAGTTTAAAAATTTATGTATAAACAGTTTATCCGTAACAGTCTTGGGTGTGGGTGCCCAGGTGCTGGCAGCAGCGGGCAGCAGGGGTGGCCTCTGTGAGGGGAGACGAGGGGCCGCCCCGGGCCAGGCACAGCCGGTTCCAGCTGGTTCCAGCCAGTGCTCCAACAGCCCCACCACAGGGCTCAGCTGAGCCCATCGGCCAAGCTGGTGGCACCTCTGCAGAAACATATTTAAAGGGCAAAAACACCACACAGGTTGAGAGGACTGGGGTGGGGGTGGGGAAGCGAGGAACAGCAATACCAACAGCAAGGTCAGAGAAGGAGGAGTGGGAGGAAGTGGTGCTCCAGGCACTGCAGCAGATGTTTCCCTGCAGCTTATAGAATCATTTAGGTTGGAAGGGACCTCTAAGATCATGAAGTCCAAATGTAAACTTAACACTGCCAAAGCCACCACTAAACCACATCCCTAAGTTTACACGTCTTTTCAATACCTCCAGAGACGGTGACTCAGCCACTTCCCTTGGCAGCCTGTTCCAATGCATGACAACCCTTTCTGTGAAGAAATTTTTCCTAATATCCAATCTAAACCTCCCCTGGTGCAGCTTGAGGCCGTTTCCTCTTGTCCTATCATCTGTTACTTGGGAGAAGAGACGAACCCCCACCTCGCTACAACTTCCTTTCAGGTAGTTGTAGAGAGCAACAAGGTCTCCCCTCAGCCTCCTTTTCTCCAGGTTAAACACCACCAGTTCCCTCAGCCACTCCTCATAAGACTTGCGCTCCAGACCCTTCACCAACTTCATGCCCTTCTCTGGACACGCTCCAGCACATCAGTGTCTTTCTTGTAGTGAGGGGCCCAAAACTAAACACAGTATTTGAGGTGCGGCCTCACCAGTGCCAAGTACAGGGGGGACGATCACTTCCCTAGTCCTGCTGGCCACACTATTCCTGATACAGGCGAGGATGCTGATGGCCTTCTTGGCCAATATTCATGTACATTGGCAAAGATTTTCAAAGCAGGACAAAAGCGAAAGCTTCACTAGGTCTTACCTGAACTACTCACTCAGCGACCAGAACACCAACAAGCCAGAAACCCAATTAGTTCCATTTTCCTACATATTTCTGGAGACCCTTTACTAATGAATTACCAACTTCAAGTTAAAAGCTTCTAGAACAAGTTTAGTAATAAACTGTTCCTGATTTAAGTGAACATATTTCGTGTTCTAGAACAACCTCTTCCTCCTTTTCCTGACTTTGTACTGCACACTTGTGAAAGAGTTAAGAGCTTAATTATTCCCTACCATCAACTGACACTCAGACCATTTATTCAACTACCCCTCAGAATATAGCTTCAGAGTGTGAAGATTTTTATTTTGTGCTGGAGGCACGTAGAAGCCACTAGTCCTGAACTGCTGTCCCTTAGCAAGGGACACAGCATGTTTAGTACCTGTAGCACTTTCCATTGGTGGAGCAGCCTGTGGAAGCGACCACACCAGAGCAGATATCCTCTGGAGGACCCCACACTAGAGCAGGTGGATATGCCCTGAAGGACACTGCAGCCTTGTGGGGAGCCCACACTGGAGCAGATTTTTTCCTCAAGGACTGTGGGAAGGACTTACACTGGAGCGGGGCAAAGTCTGAGGAATAGGGATTGGCAGAGATGAACTATTATAGACTGATTACAACCCACCATTCCCCATCCCCCTGTGCTGCAGGGTGGGAGGTAGAAAAGTCAGGGAATGAAGGAGTAAAGTTGAGCCTGCGAAAAGGGGGAGATGGGGGAGAGGTGTTATTTTGATTCTTGTCTTTGTTTCTCGCTATCCAAATATATTTTAGATGGCAATAAATTAAATTAATTTTCCCTGAGTCTGTTTCGCTCGTAATGGTAATTGGTAAGTGATCTCCTGTTCTTTATCTCAACCCATACTATTCTCCCCTCCCTGTCCTGTTGAGGAGAAGTGAGAGAGTGGCTGAGTGAGCATCTCGCAGTGGGTCAACCCACTACAAGAATATGCAAAGTCAAAATATTTTGTTCAATAAAGTATTTGCTTACATTTTTACCACTCCAAAGCACTATCACCATACTAAACTCATGCTGATCTAACCTTTACACTGTCATATATTATTATGTATTCACAGTCATGCCAGACATCTCAGCAAAAAAAAAAAAAAAAAAAAAAGATGCCAAAAAAAAAAAATAATCACAATTTTACACATTAAACTATATTTATCACAATATTGACTAAAATTAAGTGCTGTATCCAGTACAAGAAAGACATGGATATATCAGAATAAGTTTGTTGGAGAGCTACCAAAGTGGTTAGGGGGTTGGAGCACATGAGCTGTCTCGGGAGGGACTGAGACAACTGGAGTCATTCAGCCTGGAGAAGGCCAAAGGGAGATTCTACTGCTGTCTACAGCTAACTGCCAGGAGGGTACAGAGAAGAGGGAGCCAGACTCTTGTCAAAAGCATACCGTGAGGGGATGAGTGGTAATGGACACAAGCTGAAACACCGCAATTCCAAGCAGGTGTATGGGAAAGCTTTTTATGGAATCTCTATCCTTGAAGCTAATTCAGCACTTGACTGGACAGCCCCTGGAGCAAACTGCTCTACTTAGGCTTGTTTTGAGCAGGACATTGGACTCCTGGAGATCATTTCCAGAGATCTCTTCTGATCCAAATTACTCTATGAATCTAAAAATTGTATTAAACTGGTATCAAAGTAGGACAATAAGTTGATGTAGGTATGACTGAAATTCAAAATTATTTTTTTTTAACAGGCTCAGCTTCACTGAGGAAATGTAAATTGAAACTCCAAGTTAAAAAAAAAAACATGACAAAAGCCACAAAAAGCTCACTTGAATTCAACTTGTTTGCCTCAAACCTACAATAAATATGGGGCTGCTCTTCCATTAAAAAATACCATCTGCCCATGACCATAAGGTGAAAAACACCACAATCCATTGGGCTATTCCATGCTGAAAGGAAATAATGCTTCCCATTAGGCACCCAGTAATGTCTCGTTTTCTAGTATTAGAAGCTTCTGAATGTATCCTAATACATCAAGCGATAACAGATTTGTCACCAGTTTACTCACTCCAGCTACCTTAACTGAAAAGATAAGCAGTCTAAATTTAAGAAAAACATACACACGCCTTAAGAACACTCAGCAAATAAAGGGCACATGCCTGAAATTTTATGTAGGTTGTAGCCTATAGACTAGGGATCCAATTGAAGTATTAATGTAGTGTTATTATATTTCACTTCACCAGTGAAAATGGTTATACAAGCACACTATAAGAAGCATTATTAATTAAGACTTTGAATACTCTGTCTTCTTGCGCATACACATACGTGCTGTAAATAAGCACATTCTGTGAGAAAATACAGCACAAGTTAGAGAGTGCTCCCCTAGTCAGAAGGTATTACAATATCAAGACAATTTAATGTCACTGTGCTTTCCATCATGTAATACTACTCAAATTCATCTCAGAAAAAAAAGTAATAAACTTTTTCAAATTGTTTTCACCTTTCTTACATATAAATGCTTCACAAATACTAATATGGTTAGTTTCATGACACCGTTGGAATATACAACTTCATCTCCATTTTAGACAAAAATTACCACTGAAAAGAAAGGCTGATACAAAAATAATTCACTAATACTGAGAACTTCCACAAAATACATCCCACTAAAAAAGCTTGTCCTCACAAAGAAGCAGGTAGTGAAGAAGCAGCAGGTAGTGTTCACTTGTCAAAAAACCACTTTGGAAGTGTTTAATATCACATAAATTTCCTAGAAATGGAACTCAATCAAGAATTGACTTCCCCCCCCTTCTTCCTGTCCTTTCTCTTATCCATAAAATACCTTCCAGACTCTGCCACAAGAGGTAAACCTACTGCAAGTCTTCACTATAAAACACATTCATCCCTACAGTACCTCAGCTTTGTGCAATGAGGAAGGAGTCCTGTAGGAATAAAACCAGTACAGGATTCTTTAGGTGGAGATATAATACACATATCCAGAAGATAAAACAGTTAGGAAATTTCATTTCTGGCTGTCTGAGCTAGTCACTCAGCAGTTTGGCTCAGTAACAGCCAAAGTCCTGCTGGTGTCCTGGCTGGAAGTAGTATGAGAGCTTGCTGTTAACATCTATGAAGTCCCTACTGAGCCTATGTATTTAAATATTTCAGACATAACCAAGTTTGGGAAGACCTGCATGGCAAAATGATAACAGGTACTCTACTGATTAAAAGTTTTCCATAAAAAACTTCAAGTCGGAGCTACTTCTTTTTAATCTGCTTGATGATTTAAAATCTTCTTTCTTCCAAATTCTTTTTTCCTACCAGCACATGACACCTTCAGTTTACAAGTCTAGCTAGTCACAGCACACACCGCTTGTCTAAGGTATCAGAAGGGAAGGCTCACGGTCACCAAACTCAATCAGAATTCAGTAATACATCTAGTCCATGGAATAACAGCCCAATGAGAAAATTTATATGAAATAGCACATGCTCATAGAAAGAACTGAATAAATATCTGTGCATACATACCTTCTCACCCATGATGACTGGAATCAAGTGGTCTAGTAAATTGAATTCTGCCACAGGGATTACAATTGTACACTTAAGAACAGTGAATGTTGTAAGTCGAGTGGGAATGTATTCCTCCAATGATGCGACTTCTTCTGAGCTTGGCATAGTTCTATTTCCATCCATAATATCTACAATAAATCAAGATTACATATGTTTGACTAAAATATGTAAAGTAACTCCTGCAGTTGTACAGTTGCTGTTTCAGAAATGGTTAGTGACTGGCAAAAAATGGAAAGTATTTCTCCCCCTTCATAGTTAATAATTTTATTCCACACTAAGACTAAATGCAATCGTAACTGGATTTTCCTTACTTTGAAATTTGTATCTTTCTCAAAAACTCATCTTAACAGTTTACCACAGCCTGTGTCCATGCATTTTTATATTGTAGAACTATTAGTTCAAACTAATAAATACATACCAACAGGGATAATTTTGGAGTCTTAGAGAAGAAAATAAGTTAGAGTTGTCAATGAAATAAACCCTCCTTACTCAACAACAGGCTTGTGATTGAAACAAATGGCCTCCAAAGTGTCTGAAATTATCTCAGATTCAAAATCTGAAAATATCCAACACTGATGGGGATATCGCAATTACTTTTATCTTTATTTTAAATTTTGCTCTTTGGACTCAAAATCCCCTGACAGGTTTGAAGTATAACTATTTGGAAGTTGCACCTTCAAAAGCACTGAATTTGGTCTGATTTAATACTGTATATTTGCGTATATGCAATAGGAGCAAACCTGGCTTAGTTCTGCTGTATGGCTCATATTCATGTTCCAGAGCACAAACTATCATTTTCATTATCCGGTGCACCGCACTGCTATCCAGTCGAAGATTTAGTGGACCCACAATGAGACTTTTTGTAGACATCTCCTGAACATTTCCAAAATCTTCACTCTTTACTGAAGAAAGATCTTGCTGATTCCCAGAAACTACAAGAAGTTTTATAAATAACAACAATTTACACCAAACAAATGAACATAATAAAATTTATCATCAGCTACTTTTGTTTCAAATCCTGTGATTGCAGACTTACACAGAAAATATAACAATGCAAAATGAACACATAACTATACCGTGACTAGTTTAACATGTTTAAACAAGCATTATTCCTGTTTAATGCTAAGCAAACAGGGCAAGATTCTGCCTTGCCTCCAAGCACAGCACAACCTTGGAACCTTTCCATTAACTTTGTATCTCTCAAGCTTGGGACTCTTTGAAGGTGTCCAAACTATCTCCAAACTTCTGTGGCAACTTAACCCAAGGTGACAATTACAGTCGTGCTGTTCAAAACTTTCTACAGTTTATCACAAAGATATCCATCCCAAATAATTAAGGAAAAGGCGTGCTGGAAAAAAACTGCAGATACAGGCCCCTGAAATGCTATCCGCTGGTACATGAGCTAGAACAGTGATGAGACTCACACTCACTTGTACTGTCATAAATCAGACTGACCCTTCCTTCTATTCACTGATGACGTAAAGCATGGGCAGCACAAATGAAAACTTCTTTAATTATGTCTCAGACCATTTTTAGAAGGAACGCCAGAGAGATAAAAGGGTGGTTTAGTCTCTGCATCCAAAAGATCCATAACCTTTGTGTTCAGAACAGCAACTAGTGTACCAAGTCAAGTCATCATTTTTCTGATACAGGTATAGGGTAGTGAGGTAGACCGAAAACACAAATCCTGTATACAGGCTACTCATCAGCTATCAAACAGTATGACTACATTTCTCTAAGCAAACTGCATGGAAATTCTTCAGTTAAATTATGCAAATTTCAGAATCTCAAGTTTCCCTGTTACATATGACTTGTAAAAAAATACTCTCACTCCTCTAACATATTTAGCTTGCAGAATTTCATTTTTTTTCCTAATAAATCATCACTTTGACAGCATGTTTGTTGCTTTGACACAAGCACTAAACATTAAATGTCTTACTAACCATTACACAAATGAACAGTCTGACAAAATAAGCATCAAGATTAAATGGATTCCGAGACCACTAAACCTATAAAAATGAAAAAGTTCTGAGATAAAATTGTAGGATGACAGTTCAATTCATTTAGTAAATCTGGATATCACATACTCCTTAGATACCAAAGTACTCCATAATCCACCTGGTCAAAGCTGCGACAAATGGAAATGTGCCAGGAAATGCACAGCCATTGCCACCAATTTCATCTTGGTTTCCACAATGTAACACATCTGCAATTGCAGAGCTGTCCATTTCATATGTTCTTCTTGTACTCATGATCAAGTCATGCCACAGAAGCCAAGGTCTCTGTAAGCCGTGGACTGACTTCTTCCATGATGATTTGACTTCTTCCACGATGATCTTTCTCAACAGTAATATTTTTCAAGGGATTTCCGAGCTCTTATCCAATCTGGATCTTGTATATCCACTCAATGCAAGATAGATCCCATCCCTTCCTCTTTTCACCCATCTGCCCAGATGCAAATCAACCTATTTCCTTACATATATCAAATAACCTCCTGCCTTTCTGTTACAGTAACAAGCTAAACACACCCGTAGAGAGAAATATTACCCAAAACCACAGGAAAATCTGACAATTCCAAACTCTTGTTATACGATCTTCCTCACTGACACAATCTGTCCGTACTAACATAAATGGCAAGGCAAGCTCAGCTTGCCAGACTGGGCAGTGGGAGCTGCAGCTGCTGCAGACAGTTGACCTCCCCACTTTGTCAAAGAGCCATAGGACCTGTCAGCTTCTGTGTAGCTGAGGCTTTGTGGTTAAGCAGCCCGGCATGGTATACTTCATAACTTCAAGGCAAATCTTACTTCCAAAGCGACTGGAAGAAAGCATGTTTTATTTCTGGTTGCCCAAGAGGAACCTAGTTGTCTTTCACCCTCCAGGGAACACATCCTTTACCCTCCCTCCTCCTTTACTGCACTCATTCAAAACAGTCATTTAATGGGGAAAGTGAGCTTCGGGGAAAAGGAAGGCAGGCTAGGTTTTTTTTCCCCTATGTTTAAATCATACTCTACAAAATGTTCTCGCTTCTAAGCACTGGTGAGGAAATGATCCCGGAATAAACTGAGACTATGCCGAATTTGACAAGGAGCTGGCCTAATGCTCTGCAGGCGTTTACAGGCCTATATGCTCAGCAGAAGAATTAACTTTGTCCGTAAAAGTCAAACAGAAGTTGATAGTGACAGCATTTATAGCCTCTGCTTCCCTTGGTGTTTTGTTTATCCTTTCTAAGAAAAAAAAAAAAAAAAAGGAAAAAAGGACAGAAAGATATTACCATATAAAACCTGATTCAAATCTTCAGATGAAACTGAAGTTACCACCTTTTTAATAAACCCTGGAAAAGACTTTTTTTTTAAAAAAAAAAAAAGCCAGCATACAGCCTATTGTCAGGCTATGCTTTACTTAATACACAGTTAACACACATTTTTGTCTTTCCATTTCTAAACAGTATCCCGTTCACATGAACAATATTAAGAACTGTAAAAAAAACCTTAACCTCAAAAAATATCAAGGCTAAAAGCCTTTAGAAATAATAACAGCCTACGTTTTCAAAAAGAAAAAAAAACAAGCTCATTTGTATATATTGTATGTATATGAATAATATACTGAAGTGACAGCATTTACACAAACCACTTTTGGAATAGTTCAATTTAATTCTAACTAAGTGCAAAGAAAATGTGATAGAAAATTTATTGGTTCTACAGAAGTAGCTGATCACAGGTTACTGTTGAAATTCCACAGACGCATAAAGGAAAATAATTTCTGATCACTGAGTATTCAGTTCTCTGTAAACCATATGTCTAATTCTAACTGGAAAAAAAAAAAAAATCTTAAAATGAGGATGCTGCATAACAAACTTGCCACCAAAATAGATAGGTACACATTATAAACACAATATAACTTCAGAAGTACACCCCGTTAAGTCTGTAGGTCATGCAAATCAGTGATCAGGGAACTGACAGGCTACACAATGTTTCAGGGAAATTACTATTATGTACTGACACAAACGAAAAATAGAAAGATAAAGTTGGAAGGGAAGGACAGGCAGAATTTCAAAGTAAGACTATGGTGCATGACTATCTATCTTGTTTTCATTCAAAATACTAAAAGTGATTAATGAACTTCTATAAGTGACAGATGAAACTCCGGAGGTTAATGTTATCCATGAGGCACTTGTGGTTTAATCAGTAATCATATGCTTCACAAAAGGTTAAAGGGGCAAAGAAGGTGTCAAACCAAAATTGCCTTGACAGATAAAAATCTTACAATCACAGTAACAGCCTCCCATAACTTAAGTTGGGTTAAGTTTTTTTTAGAGGAAGGTGGTGTACACTGACTGTAACTAAAAACATAGTTAACAATGTCAAAGTAAGAAATAGTAAAATGTTACGTAAATAATTTCATATAAACATCATATATTTAAAATGCAGCAATATTTATATTGTTTTCAAAATCTTGACATATTTATACCTTCATTTCAAATGAAATAATTTACACCTATTTGATCACGTTCTATCGAATAATTATATACTTGACTCGTAATATGGAAAAATCAGCTAGAAAATAACTAGCAGACAATGTCACATTTGCTTTTCTGATGAACAAAACTATAGGAAAATTTAGGGGTTTAAGTTCTTGATTCTAGAGCTATAACAACCATTTAAACCATTAACTTAAAAATTAATTACTCTATTTGTTCTTCTGTGTAGTCAGGTAGCTGAAATTAGAGGAGTAATACTGAAATAAAAGCACACAGCAAGGCTTGATAGGAAGCCAAGCTGCATTTTGTGAGGTGTTTTCCTGTTGACTGATGCAGGAAATAAAAGCCAAGGCCCTGAGAAAGCAAACTGAGAGAAATAAGAGAGAAGCTGAGGAGGGGAAAAGGTAGTCAGAAAACAGCAGCAGCCTGAAAAGGTGTTTCTGAGTTCAGCAATTTCTGAAATGGGTTACTTACAGTCAGAAAGAGATGTCTTTAAATTCTTTGTGCATTCAGAGAAACAAGACAAAATACTCCACAAAATCAATTTTCCTCATAATCAACTAGTATGTGTATATTCAAATGTCTATACCAAAATTCAAAAAGGAGATAAGGCTTACCCTAGGTCTTCAACTTATCTACATAAAAGTTATTGCATGCAATTAAGCTATTATTTCTTTATTTAAACAAGAAGTAGACTGCAGTAGAAGCTTCACTTCGTGTGCGTTTTCTCAGCTTCACATCACACTCATGATACAGAGAGGAAAGACTCAGGGCCAGGAAAGAACTGTGAAATTACCTAGTGCATCCCTCTACTGACAAAAGCAATAGCATCAATTATTTCTTTTTATAAGCTTTGCGTGATCTACCCTCTGACCAAACTGGAAGGTTTTCTTTCCTACTCCTTTTATGCTGAATGTCCAACAAGTCCAGAAAAAAACACATTAGGAGTTAAGACTTCTCTTACATAGAGACAAAATGTGCAAAAAAACCCCAGATGAGTTGGACTATGTAGCAAGGACAGATAAATATTTGGTCACAAAATAGCAAGACATTCTCAACAGATGTTCACAGAAACAGTGTTCATGATAATAAATACACAAGTGGGGAAGAAAGCATTATTTAGGCAATAAAACTGCAGATCAGCAGCTGTAGATGACAGTCTTACCAGGGGTGGGGGGGAAAATCACATTGCAATTCACCATAAGAATATCTGTACAAAAATATATACATATTACTTGCTGATACATTAAACTCCTTTGTCCTGTCTTTTGTGACACTCACAAAAGTAGATATACTTACTGCACTGAATCTACTGTATTGCCTAAGATTTAGAAAATAATTGATAGGAATCTCAAAAATTACTTGGAATTAGTCAATATTTATGCATGCATGGTTTGGGCTCACAAAATTTTTACGGTATGTATATTTAAAGACTAATTCTCCACACTATCTCTTTTCCTTGCATTTTTCTTCACAACAGAAAATGGCAGTCCTTTTCAACTTCTGCACCAATTAGATGATCAACTTCATTCTTCAACCAAAGTTTCTCAAAAGATTCTTTTTTCCTCCCCAAAGTCAACAATGACAACAACTTTAAAAAAAAAGACATCATACTTTATGAACTTCACACCACTGCTACAAGAGAATTATTTTCAGTTTAGTAACTGACTATAAAAGTTATCATTGTGATTACTTATGCAGGAAAAAAAGGAAGACGACCAACAATCAACAGCTAACCAAAACAGCTCATCTCAAATGCATCAATGAAGATGAAACCATTTTAACAATGAACCTGATGGTAAATCTGAGGTAAGTTAGAGGACAGTCGGTCAAGGACCACCTGGGCATGAAAACTCTTTGTTTCTATTATTTAACAGGGTAAACAACAAATAAAAGGTACCTTTGCCACTGGTGCTTTCCATTGTGTACAAGTAATCCATGTAGAAAGCCCCAAACCTCTGCATTCCAGCTATCTCTGTGTATGTCTCCTACCAACAAAGCAAAGCAAACAAAGAAAACGTTGTATTAGGAAAGAATCTTGAGATTACCAACTGATAGGTTGGTATGAGAGAGATATATTCATGTTTGGATTTGTGCATCAACACACGGAAAGGCTTATCAAAACAAAGGACAGAGGTTATCCCAAAGAATTCACCTTTCCGATAGGTAATGTAACTTCTATTTGAGGCCACACAAAGGCACATCCATAATTCCAGTGGACATGCTGACCAATTCATCAATAGCATCTAGTTAATTAGTACCTTTAATGGAGTAAATATTCTTCACTTGACCTCTTGCATCCAATAGATCTGCCTAATTAAATACACTGAAAACTGAAGCTCATTCATTCAAGCTTTTTTATTTAAGGAATATTGTGGGTTTACCTTTAAACAGTAGGAAACTTATTAAAACTTCATGCCATTATTGGGATTAATACATAATATAATCCCTTATTACACAGCAAGTGTGCTTTCTCTCTTGCCAAAAAAATAGGCAAATCATAAAAGCATGTAAAACAGGCCAAGGAAAGAGTTAAGCTTAAAACTAAAACACACTATGGGAAATGTTTGAATATGTATGAATACTTGCGATTTCACTAATTAATTTCTTTTTTTAATGGGATTCTTCAGGGTTACACTTCATCAGTAGTATTAAAAAGGTGAAAATAGTAAAATTTAAATTTAAAAAAAGAGATATATTCAAACTTTTAAACGGCTTACCTGTACAATAACACAAAGTACACAACTCCACCTGTGAACACACCTGGAAGGGACCACCTTGGCCACCACATCCAGTCTTTAATAATTGCAGACAGTCAGGGAATAAAGTTTTACAGCACAATTTACAAAACAGACTATTGGTGATTGAAAATTTGTCTCTACCAAAGGCTGTCTAAGTAGACAAGTATAGCACACAGACAATAAAATTAACATTGCCCAAGATCTGGTTTCTGAGAGAGTACTTCTTAGTTTGAAGACCATGCACTACGTACTGGCTGAGTTTAAAGAAGCACGCGCTGGTAAAGCTTGACCTTTTGCTAGCATTCTCTCGTATCTCTGTTTTTCTCTGCAGGTGTTCTGTAGTTAGTGCTTTTGGAAACTACGGCACTAATTCAGCTTTTAGGCAGGAGGGGAGTTTGAGGATTCATTTGGACATAGTTTTTTAATTTATTTATTTATTTTAAAACACAAACAGGTTTACTCTTTTTTTTGGCCATCTGCAAAATGAGACTCAGTTAAACATGACAAAGTAATGAAAATCATTCCTCTAATAGTACACAGATGTAAATAATCATTAGAAATCCATTAGAGAGCATTAGAAATTTTTTTTCTAAGAAAAAATTAATTCTCTGACCTTATGATGAGCTGCATCCAATATAAATTCTGCACGAATACTATTATTTTCTGGACTTCGGTAATCAAACAGTGAATTTGTAAGGTACGTCATCCCTTTTGCACTCAAATTTTCTCCGCAATTAAAGAAGTAGGCCTCCTTCATGAGGTAGTAGAAAACAATAAAGCAAGGGAGAAAAAAAATACAGTCAACAGAGCAGTTTCAATTCTGTCATAATACACTAATGACATGGTAGCATCCCTCAAAAGCATATTTCATTATGAATGAAGATAAGAAAATTAAAATAACTTTAATCAAATAATGCTGAAGTTCCTGTCCCCTCCCTCCCCATTTTCAAATTAATAAAAACCCACTATACAGAACATAGTAGTTTCATTTTAACAGAAAATAACCTCAGATCATTGTTACTCCAAATTCTGCCCCATCCTCTTGTCACTATCTACTCACATTTCTCTGACCAATGCCTTTCAGATGCTTTATCTATCGTCCTCATGATAAGCAGTTATTTCAGTCTATGACCTCCTTGCTACCTTATCCATCTTCTTTATTTATCTAGATTTTTACATGCCTTCTCCATATCCCAAACTCTCTATCCTCCTGAAATCAACACAGCTTTCCCATCAAGAGTTATCCTTCCAAAACAGTTATTTAAATGAGATTGATTTTTTCCATCTATTCTCAATCACAACAAAGCTGGAACCTTTATCAAAGGCCCAGTCCCAACTATAACAGTACAGAAAGACAACATGTGAGGCAGTATCAATATCACCACCATACTCACAAAAGCAGATATGTTCTTTAACTCACACCCTAGAGGGTGGCAGAAAAATGAAAAAGAGCAAAAAACCAAAGTGTCCCTTATCAACTAACCTACAGGAAACTCATTCGCTCACCCACCCCCACCAATCCAAAAATCACTTCTCTCATGATTTTATACCTCACACTCTCACAGTTGCTGCAGGTGAGGCTGCCATCCACCCTCACATCTCCCCAGCCATGTCTCTCTTGTATCTAGCAAGGCCAGTACAGCATCTTTCACAGTTGGCTCATGCTTGCCTCCCCAGTCTGTCTTTCTGGAAAAGCCTATGTCTATGAATTGTAGCACACCAGTCATGTAACATGTCCCACCATACCTCTATAATCCCAATAATATCATACACTACAGCTGCGTAAGGATATCTAATTCTTCTTGCTTGTTTTCTGTCCGGCACGCATTGCATGCAGACACTTGAGACGGATGCCAAGAAATGCTGCTCTCACAAGAAGTACAAGAACCTGTCCCATCATACCTACCATAGTACAGTTTATGACCATTTTCCAAATAACGAGATACTTTACATTAATATAGTCACTTTATATTTTCTTCTACTTTCTTAATTTTTCTCCTTAAAACACTTTCTAGACTTCACAGAGCACTAACATCCAGTTAACAGGTCTGTTGTTGGCTGCATTACTTGTCTTTATTTAAACACAGATAATAATTGCTGTTGTCTGGTTCTTTAGAGCACTATTCTACATATAGTTCACCCCAAAATCCTCATTATTGAGTTTAGAACTTCACATACCACTTCATTAAATATTTTAAGGGCAGTTCATATGGATACCTGATTTGATCTTAAGCAACCAAGCTTTCATTCTATTTAAAATACAGAAATTAATATATAATGATAGAGGGTAGTGGAGTTGTCAAAAAAAGCCTTATGTTTTGCAGCTTCTCACTCTTAGATATTTGTCTTTCCAATTGTAAGGAACATACATTGAGTTACATATTCTAGTGACCCATTCAAAAAACTTAAATCACAACTGGTAGCAGCCTTTTAAGTTCTTGCAATCAAGTATTTTAATAAATAAATTGGCCTTCTATGATGGCGTGACTACATCAGTGGACAAAGGAACAGCTACAGATGTCATCTACCTGGACTCCCATAAGGCCTCTGACACAGTCCCCCACAACATCCTTCTCTCTACATTGGAGATATATGGATTTGATTGGTGGACTGTTCAGCGGATGAGGAATTGCTTGGATGATCGCATCCAGAGGGTAGTGGTCAATGGCTCAATGTCCACATGGAGATCGGTGACAAGTGGTGTCACTCAGGGCTCCATATTGGGACCAATACTGTTCAGCATCTTCATCAATGACACATACAGTGGGACCAAGTGCACCCTCAGCAAGACTGCAAATGACACCAAGCTCAGTGGTGTGGTTGACATGCCTGAGGGACGGGATGCCATCCAGAGGGACCTGGACAAGCACAAGAAGTGGGCCCGTGGGTACTGGGGGATAAAAACCTGGACATAAGCTGACAACGCCTGTTCACAGCTAAGAAGGCCAACCATATCCTGGGCTGCCTCAGAAGACGCATGGCCAGCAGGTTGATGGATGTGATTCTGCCACTCTACTCTGCTCTCATGAGACCCCACCTGAAGTACTGCATCCAGCTCCAGAGCCCTCAGCACAGGAAAGACATGGACCTGTTGGATTGGGTCCAGAGGTGGGCCACAAAAATGATCAGAGGGCTGGAGCACCTCTCTTATGAAGACAGGCTGAGAGAGTTGGGGTTACGTAGCCTGGAGAAGAAAAGGCTCCAGGGAGACCTTATAAGAAAGATGGGGACAAACTTTTTAGCAGTGCCTGTTGTCATAGGACAAGGCGTAAGGGTTTTAAACTAAAATAGGGCAGATTCAGACTAGATAGAAGGAAGATATTTTTTCCAATGAGGGTGGTGAAACACTGGAACACGTTGCTGCACTGGTTTGTCTGGCAGGGTTTTGGTAGCAGGGGGCGCTACAGGAGTGGCTTCTGTGAGAAGCTGGTAGAAGCTCCCCATATGTTTGGTAGAGACAATGCCAGCTAGCTCCAAGACAGACCCACTGCTGGCCAAGGCTGAGCCAATCAAAAATGGCGGTAGCACCTCTGTGATAACATATTTAAGAAGGAGGAGGGCAGGGGGGGACCAAAAAAACAGCGCAACAGTAATTGCAGCAAGAGAGAGGAGTGAGAACATGTGAGAGAAACAACTCTGCAGACACCAAGGTCAGTGAAGAAGGAAGGAGAGAAGGTGCTCCAGGTGCCAGAGCAGAGATTATCCTGCAGCCTGTGGTGAAAACCATGGTGAGGCAGGATGTCCCCCTGCAGCCCATGCAGGTTAACAGTGGAGCAGATACCCACCTGCAGCTCATGGAGGACCCCATGCTGGAGCAGGTGGCTGCTCAAAAGTGGCTGTGACCCCAGCCTCTAAAGGTCCCTTCCAACCCAAGCTATTCTATGGTGATTCTAAAGCATACCAGAATTGCTTATTCAGTACATCAACTGGTATTTCAGTATACTCACTTCTTCACTCCTATTCATGTTCTCTTCAAAGTCTTTAATTCCCATAATTCCTTTAAGGCACATAGCTTGGCAACCAACAAAACCTATTTGGCAATCAAAGAAAAGTTCACCTTTCATAAGGACCTAGTGAGGAAAAAAAAAAAAGTGATATTTTGAAGAATTCTACTCCACGAGAAACAGAAAAGATACAGAAAAGTAAACCAAAATATGTTTAGGTTTATATATTTAGAGCTTTAATAAATAGCAAGATAATCAAACAGTGTGCTTAGAAGGAAGGGACTACTTTAGAGTCTGTTCACTATAACACTAGAAATTTGGAGAATTTCTATCTACATGTTTATTACAATAAACACATCCAATATAGCAGAATATTAACAACCGGTAATGAAATTATTTCAAAATATTTTATTACTAACTATTTACTACAGTATTTATAATGAATAAAAAAGAAAAACTGTAAATGGAAAATTACTAATTACCTCAATTGTGGTTCCTTCTTGTTCCCAGCATATAACTTCTTTGGATTTTACTTTCTGAGGGCTGTAATAACTACTTTCAGCTTGCATTTCAGTGAGCTATGAAACAACAGGATAAACACCTTATATAAGTCAATATTAGTATTAAACAGCACTAATGTCATTAATATACAGAACTGATGAAGACAAATTAAATTATGGTCTAAAATTTATTAACCAGCAGGAAACAGCTGCAGTTAAACAGCTGTAACACATTATCCATATTAGAACTTCTCATATTCAACTTCTGGTTGAAGTATGCCATAACAGCGTTTTAAATCCACTATAGTATTTTCAGTTTGCTTATCTAAAGAGAAACTATGTGAAAAGATGAAACGGATACACAGCTGCATTATTAAAATACTACCAAATTAGCTTATAAATTGCTGTAAAAATCCATAAATACGTTATTTATTCTTTGCAGCAAATAATTAAACAGCACAATAATACTAAGGAAACATTTTGATTACAACCATTCTCATTTTTGTTTCTTGTCATAGCAATTGAGAGAAACACGCTTTTATATTTCTTGCACAATTTCAATATAAAAATTAAAAGAGGTAAAACACATACAGTCAGGTTAAAAAGCATGTAACCTGCAGCTAAGAAAAGAGGCACAAATAATGAAGGCGTTATGTTTTGCATTAAAAAATGTTTATGTTGAGCAGCTTAAATAGTTCAAAATCTAATTTTTATAAAAATACCCACAAGGTCTCATTATTTTCAAGAGTGGATACACATGGATGTTGTTTCAAATTAAAATTTTGTAATCCAAATGTCCAGGAAAATTGGATTAAAAAAATCACTAATCACCCTTCAGCTGTGTGCAATTATTGCAGAGGAAAAGCAATTAATTGATTAAAAGAACTCAGACATTACAAGAATAATTTTCACAATTATTAGAAAACGCTACATTTAATTTGGCATGATTTTTAGCTGGAATGATATCAACTGTTCAGAATGCTAATGCAGAAACTTGACCTTATTTTTTAACCAAAATATGAACCCAAATTAATTCCATACATTCTTTGCATGCAAGCAGAACAATGAATTCTGTTTTCCTCCTAACTGTCACCATAATAGTATATTAGATCACTTCAAATTTGAAATTTATAGAATGTAAGATGTTACATTTTAAGTAGTTTTTATCACTTCCTAATATAAAATGTATATGCTTCCCCAAAAAACATTAGGAAAGCCCAATCCAGCAAATCTTGTTCAGAAAAGAAGCTCATATTATTTTTAATGAGTTCTCTCATGGGAGGAAAGAGGGCACAAAATTACTACTGCATGACAAAGCACAAAAGAAAGAAGATGCCTGAACCATGAAAAAAGAGAAATTTGAGTTCTGGTTGATTGTTCAGTTTTTTTTAAGTGGTGGCCGGAGAGATAATTAAAGGAGGAAGAAAAGATTTTCCACGATTTATTTTTAGCCTGTTTTTTTTAAATGAAGGCTGAAGCAGATTGACACAAAAGAACATGACTGAATGCCTGTTGATGCTTTATGTCCTCAAATTTTGCACCCAAATTAGCCAGGAGACTGAGGGCATTAAACATCACTAACCTCCTCACAGAATGCCTGCAGCTCCCAAAGTCACTTGTCTCATCCTTTCTGACAGTTGCTGAGCAGCTAAATGCTCTGCTATACCACCAAACAAAAACACCTAAGAGAAAGTAGCCACGAAGCCACTCAAAGTACTCTCTTGTGCACAAATGACAAGCCAAACAGGCAAAAAGGGACAGGGAACTGCTGATGGAATTGAGTGGACAATCAGGCCCATAAACATTATATGAAGGTAATGAATATCATGGAACAGATCCTCGTGGAAGCTATGCTAAGGCACATGGAGAACAGGAAGGTGATCCAAGACAGCCAGCATGGCTTCACCAAAAGCAAGTGCTTGCCTGACCAACCTCATGGCCTTCTATGATGGAGTGACTACATCAGTGGACAAGGGAACAGCTACAGATGTCATCTTCCTGGACTCCCATAAGGCCTCTGACACAGTCCCCCACAACATCCTTCTCTCTACATTGGAGATATATGGATTTGATTAGTGGACTGTTTGGTGGATGAGGAATGGCTTGGATGATCGCATCCAGAGGGTAGTGGTCAATGGCTCAATGTCCACATGGAGGTCAGTGACAAGTGGTGTCCCTCAGGGCTCCATATTGGGATCAGTACTGTTCAGCATCTTCATCAATGACACATACAGTGGGACCGAGCGCACCCTCAGCAAGACTGCAAATGACACCAAGCTCAGTGGTGTGGTTGACATGCCTGAGGGACGGGAAGCCATCCAGAGGGACCTGGACCCATGTGAACTTCACAAGGTTCAACAAGGCCAAGTGCAAGGTCTTGGTACCTGGGCTGGAGCAAGTGTTGGTATCAATAAAGGCTGGTGGATGAAGGGATCAAGAGCAACCCTGCTGAGCAGGACTTGGTGGTCCTGGTGGATGAAAAGCTGGACATGAGCCAGCAATGTGTGCTCACAGCCCAAAATCATAGAATCACCTAGGTTTGAAGGGACCTTTAAGATCGCTGAGTCCAACCATCAACCTAACACTGCCAAAAACACCAAGAAACTGTGTCCCTAAGCAACACATCTATTGTCTTTTAAATAACTCTGGGGATGGTGATCCCACTTCCCTGGGCAGCATGTTCCAATGTTTGATAACCCTTTTGGTGAAGAAATTTTTCCTAATATCCATCCTTAACCAACCATATGCTGATCTGCATCAAAAGAAGCACAGCCAGCAGGTTGAGGGATGTGATTCTGCCATTCCACTCTGCTCTCATGAGACCCCACCTGGAGTACTGCATCTAACTCCAGAGCCCTCAGCACAGGAAAGACATAGACCTGTTGGATTGGGTCCAGAGGAGGGCCACAAAAATGATCAGAGGGATGGAGCACCTCTGTTTTGAAGATAGGCTGAGAGAGTTGGGATTGTTCAGCCTGGAGAAGAAAAGGCTCCAGGGAGACCTTATTGCAGCATTTCAGTGCGTAAACGGGGCTTATATGAAACATGGGGACAAACCTTTTAGCAGGGCCTGTTGCGATAGGACAAGGCATAAGGGTTTTAAAGCAAAACAGGGCAGATTCAGACTAGATAGAAGGAAGACATTTTTTCCAGTGAGGGCAGCGAAACACTGGAACAGGTTGCCCAGAGAGGTGTTGCCCAGTGACAGGACAAGGGGCACCAGGCACAAACTGGAACACAGGAAGTTCCATCTCAATGTGAGGAAAAAATTCTTTACTGACAGAGCACTGGAACCGGCTGCCCAGAGAGGTTGTGGAGTCGTCTTCTCTGAAGTTATTCAAAACTGGCCTGGATGCACTCCTGTCCAACCTGCTTTAGGTGAACCTGCTATGGCAAGGAGGTTGGACTAGTCCCTTCCAAACCCCACCGTTATGTGATTCTGTGATAGATGTGCCATCCCTGGAAACATTCATGGTGAGGTTGGACAGGGCTCTTAGCAGCCTGATCTAGCTGAAGATATCCCTGCTTGTTGCAGGGGAGGATGGACTAATTGACCTTTAAAGGTCCCATCCAACCCAAACTACTCTATGATTCTATGAAAGTACTGCAGTTCATCCAAAGGGCTCAAAGTCATTAAAAAAAAAAAAAAAAAAAAAAATCAACCTTAATTATTCTGCTGCTCATAGAAATACTATTATTTCCTGCTCTGAAAAGCTCTGGTCCTGATTTAATATATGTTTAATTGTAAAACCAAGAGCCACTTTCTATTGTAGTTAAGCAAGCAATTCTATGTTCATATAGTTTGGCATGTGTAAAAACTATTTTGCTAATCACAGAATCACAGAATGGTTAGGGTTGGAAGGGACCTCTGGAGATCATCTAGTCCACCCCCCCTGCCAGAGCAGGGTCACCTACAACAGATTGCACAGGACAGCGTCCAGGCGGGTTGTGAATGTCTCCAGAGTGGGAGCCTCCACCACCTCTCTGGGCAGCCTGTTCCAGTGCTCCGCTACCCTCAAAGTAAAGAAGTTCCTTCTCATGTTAAGATGGAACTTCCTATGTTCAAGTTTATGCCCATTACCCCTCGTCCTATCACTGGGCACCACTGAAAAAAGACTGCTCCCATCCCCCTGGCATCCTCCCATTAAGTATTTGTATGTATTAATAAGATCCACCCTCAATCTTCTTTTCTCTAGACTAAAGAGACCCAAGTCCCTAAGCCTTTCTCCATATGAGAGATGTAATTCAGAACCTTATTTTTTAACTTCTGTCAGTACATCTCAATATCCTATTCAGGCTCTCCATATTCCCTTCTGCAAGCTTACAAAAGAAATCGAGAGAAGCCCAGCAACCATTTTGAGATTGGTTTACAGAAAATACTCAAATCTTTCTCTGCGTACATAGTTTATACCTCAGAGTATATGCATAATTTATCCTTTCTTTAATTCAGTTCCAACCCATGGAAAATTAATGTCAGCATTATCAATTTAAATTCATATTTGCACATATTATAGTTTTAAAAAAGAAAAAAACATTCCTTCAATTCACAAACTATGTGAAGTTAATTTTTTTTTTAAATAAGTATGTTTATATAAGCGTTAGATGCATAGAATACTGCAATAAACATTGACAGAAAACCCTTTAAGCTTTTTCTCCCATCAAAAAATATTAAATCTAAGTAACTCAAGTGATTTCCCTTTAAAATTAAAATGTCCATATGCAAACTCCACCTGAAACAGCAAAACCACTTCACACTGCAATTAACAATATATTACGATGCAAGAGGAACTTTCAACATTCACATTTTTTTTATTCATTACTGTAACATTCCCTGTCTCGAATCAAACAGTAGACAAGCATGCAGATAATCTTTAAGCACTTTCTCAACAAGCCAAATAAATCCTATACGACACAGAGAAATACTTACCTTAAAAGTCACTGTTGCCTTTGTACAGTAAAACCCAATTGAAACAATAGGATCCTTGAGGGATTGAGATTTCTGTTGATGTAGCGTCGTTCCATCATCAATTCCACTAGAATCATTCTCTTCATCATCGTAACTCACAATAGCAGGAACAAAAGACCAAGCCCAAGAAACCCATCCTTGTTGCTGGTCATCATCTTGATGCAAATAAGGATCTTGATTAATATACGGTGTTGGATATTGCATTACTGAGCTTGTTTCATCTTCTGTGCCTTTTAAAACAAAAACTTAGTCAAATTTCAAATCAACCATGCTAGAAACTGTATTTATTATACTCAAAATTATAGTATGTGAAATTTATCTAGGACAGTATTCCGTGTATCATTCACTGGTATTTGATTTTTAGTGATAGAAAAAAAGTAGAAATTTTACATTTCTGAATATAAGTTTCTAAACACTTGTTTGATTCATTAACATTTTCCTCCAAAAAATATTAAGGATCTTTGCAATAGTTCTATTATTGTACATTTGCAACAAGACTCAACTTTGTCACCTATACCATGTGCTTTGAAGACTTCTTCCATTAAAGCCCTTTCAAAGTTGCAAATTAAACCCTACTAAATAAGGTTATATTACAATCTTATAGTTTTCAATTTTAAAATGAAATAAAAAAGGACTTCAATTGCAAGAGCCATAATAAGGAAAATGTAAACACAACACAGATCCAAAAAATTAAGGTTGAAAACCTCCTTTGTTTAAAAATCAGGTTTTCAAGCAAAGACACAGGTTTATCTACACTCAAAAAAGCTGGTAAGCCACCTGTGACTCAAAAAGAACCTAATGTTGGTCTTCTGTGGGGGGAAAAAAAAAAAAAAAAGAATCTTAGAGATAGCATACAGAACAAAACAAGGTTTGCCACAAAGATACAAGTCAAAGATTCCCGATCCAAATGAGTAACACTGCATGTACAAACAGCACGATTAACTGCCTGTGTGGCTTCATCACAGCTCTTACAGGACTCCCAAGAAGTATTAACTGCTTCAGAGTTACCATAGGCAGTACAGGATGCAGAACTGTTCCCACAGGGGAGCAATATTGAATGTATTATTTAACTGAGAATGGAAATAGGCATATTCCATTTCCATTTACTCAGGGTTTTTTATCTCAGAGGACTCACTCTTGCAAGTTTTAGAGCTTTTAGTCTTTAGCCTAATTAGTCTTTTAGTATAATTATTTATACACTTGCGCGATGGGAGAAAGCATAAGAAAAAACACTCATGAGAACTCTTTGCACATGCTTGGAGGCGAGGACACCTCCTCCCATATGGGCAATGCATGCTTCCTTCCTGCTCTCTTTACAAAACAGCGTCAGAGATCAGATTTCAATCCAAATGTAAATCTCGAAACACAGGAAATACAGAAGAGGTGCACATAAAGTCTTGGAAATGGCCAAGAGGCAGAACTGTCAGATGTAGAAGGAAAAAGAATTCATATGGAGCATAATTTGAGTCGTTTAGCCAAGACTGTTGTTGGCAAGGACAGAAGAAATGGTGGAAGGTCTGACAAAAGAGAAAAAAATCTGGAGGTGTAGGATCTGTCACACATAACATTTGGGGTACACAGCCATAAAATTCAGCCATCGTTTAGCATACCTCTTTGCCACAGTATGTTTACACACAGGAACAACAGTAAAAGATGCTAAATAATAGTTTGGTTTATTTTGGAATAACCAAATTAATATTAATATTTTTGAAGCCATCAAAATAAGACAGAACAGCAGCTAGACTAAAATGGTGATATCTACACACTGTGAGACAAAAAGAGGAAGATACACCCATTTTCTATCACTAAGTTTCTATCACTACTACAACCATTATGTAATCAACAGTCAAGCTTCGGAATAAACGCACATCAGCCTAGCAAGCAACCCACAACATCCTCTGAACACTTCAAAGCATAAGTATAAAGTAAATACCTTTATAACAAGTAATGCATGAAGGGGAGTATGTACTTTGGAAACACAACGTCTCTTTGGTTTTAACTAACTATGCTACCCACTGCATCAACTGCAAACATATAGGATACTGAAAATATAACAATAAAACCCCTATGTTTTACATTCAGCAATTTGTTAAAGGACAAAATGCTCCTACTCATCAGGTTTCTACATCCACTCTTGCTAGCTACCCATAGCTGAGATCACACTGGAACAATCTTGCTTCATAGTGTAGAGCAGTTAAGAAATACATTTTACATAAATTACAAGATTTCAGTGTGATTGCATCTTGCTGTTTCCACGTTCAAACCAAGTTTGATCTTCAGAAATTCACTATGCTCTCTTTTAAGGGGGGGTGAGATACTTATCTCTAAGAGTCTGGAAACTGGTATCTCTCACAGTAAGTCTGAAACTAACCCAGTAGAAAGTTACTCTCTCTGTATTTATTTATTTTTCTGCCTGTGTTAGTTTTCAGCCAGGTAAGGCTGATCCAGCTTAGCCTGTGGCTACATAAATACAAGTGCTGGCACTAAGGGAAGAGGGCGGGAATGCATCACCATCCCTGCTGGCAATAGCATAAACTTTCATCTGGTTGAATCAACCATGAAACTGCATAAATGAAACGTAGTAATTATTTCAAGAGCACAGCTATAGATGTTCATTCTTGTATCACTAAATAATGTAGATATTAAAATTCATTTCCTTATCCATGTTTTACCCTCTATAAGCTAAAGAAGCTACTGCAAGCTCACAGCTGACAGTATCATTAATTTTGTATAAAAAAACACCTTATGGAATAAATCATGTTAAAAACAAACAAAACAAAAAAAAGAGAAATTTGCAAGGAACAAGAGTTATCTGGAAGATAACAACAGTTTTGGTGCTGACCTTGAGAATGCAATAGCCCTTACATTTGTCCTTGCAGCATGAACTGTCCTTGAAGAATATCAAATGTAATAACACACGTGGTTTCAAAGTAATGAACATTTTCTTATGATTTTCCTTTGCATACATTTATTATATGAGGAATGTACAGAAATTACAGACATACAGGAAAAAAACAATTTCAATGTTTGTAAAAGTTCCCCCCAATACGTTTATATTCTTCAGTGGCTGTGTTGCCAGACTGAATTTTATTTGAAAGATGTTCATTTTGGATTCAAACCATAGAAAAACAATAAATTGACTGCCACAAGATAACTTATAATATTTACGATGCTAGTAGCTTAAAATTTTGGTATTTAAATAGTTTTACTTCACAGTACATATTAAAAAATAGCAGGTCATGATCTATTACACATGCATTACAGCAGCACAGCAACATTGATGGAGATTGCACATAATGGAAATTACACCAGCAGAAACTAAAATCCTATCTACCAAACTCTAGTCTGAAAAGTATTCCACATCTCCTTTTAAAAGCAAATGTACCCCCAACACTTTCTAGGCAAAAATCTGATGCCATTCTAATTGCAGCATTAATACAATATTACAACAGTCGCACACTCAAGTGACAGTACTTTTACACATTGAGGTATCACACTTATTTTGAAGAAGACAACCCACTACAGTGATTCAGTTGGCCAGGAATCAGTACTGCGAAACAGTAAGACTTAAGGGTTTCTTCTTATTTCTGCATCAAGAACAGCACCTTCCTTAAACTCAAACTTCTGGATCCCACCAGACCAGAGTACGCTTCCACCTTACAGACAAACATAAAGCAAGGGAAGAAATCATCGCTCCCTTTTACTGCTGAGTTGCACAGTCCACTGAATATGGAATGTGACTGTAACACGCTAAGGCTTTAGGTTCAACTCTACAGAATCTGCTTTTTCATGGTATGTACCTCCATCTATTAAACAAACTTCCCCAAGCTTCTACTTCTAAGTCTACCAGTCTTGTCTTATTGTAAATTGAAACTACCCTAGTGAAAGACTGATAGACAAGGAGGGAGAGAATCACGTTCCAAATTTATTAAGAAAACACAAAATAAAGAATGATGCCACAACAATTCTGAAGTGCTCAAATAACACCAATAATTACTTTGAAGTGCTCCCCATGACATTACTAGGGGTTGCCAATCAATTTTAAAATTCCAATTATTTGAACAATATCCCAATCTCAGTAAAATTAGGAGCAGATGTAGGACTTAGTTAAGGGCGAGCTGCAAAACAAGTGGCAGTGATTTTAAAACACCAGAACCAGGACAAGAGGTAGGGGATCTATTTTCTACTTTTATGGCAAAGGAGACTAAGTAATATGAAATATCACAACAAAAGGGCAAGTGCCTCTGGACTGAGATACAAAACACAGGACAATCTCAAAGTCATATGTAAGTGCAGATACCCAATAGGGAGAGGAAGGCTTTAGTTGTCTGATAATTCCAGTCCAAAAAGTGGTTTTGTTTCATATCCCGCATACAAGTTCAAGCAGATCAACTGGAAATACATTTTGCTCACTAGAAGCATTAAAAAAATTGCTTGCATTCTGCCATCTACCTTAAACTACTTTTAAAAGGAGCAGATGAAAAAATGGGATGATACTTAAGCTTTTATGTAATAAGAAAAAAAAAACCAAAAGGTCAACCTGTGACTTGTGCCTTTCAAGGATTTAAACATATTTTTTGAGTCTCTACTAAAAAAGGAGTATTAATGCTTTTCAAGAAAAAAGAAGATGGCAAGACAACACAGAGATGTTTAAAAGGCATTCATAAAAATCTCATTCTCCACAAAAAAGGTTATAGTTCCTAAAAGAATGAAAATATTTAATATAAACAAATTTAATCTCCCCAATTCAGGAACTTTAAAATTTAGGAAGATTTAACCATCACTCATTTTTTTTTAACATGCTACTCATTTTAACTGCTGGTCATTTAACTGATGTTAACAGGTGTAAGCAATTCTATGTGCCTAAACATGTACTCCAAATCAATGAAATCTGGCTATCTCCATACAATGAGCTTAATATCCATCCTCAGCATACAGGATCTCAGCAACCAGTTACAATGCACTGCTATAGAAGCCTACAACAAAGTTACTCGCTGTCGTGCTGGCTGTTAGACAGCTGCACAACGCACTGACCCCACAAGCCCCGTTTCGCAGGTGTCTGTCTACACTGCATCTTTACAGTCTGTTGAAATACAAATGGCAAGTGTACCTACTGTTCCTTGGGAGGACACCGAAGTATATAGGCAAGGAAGAAGCTCCAATAATGGAGCTAGATGACTGGAGGGGAGGGAAGAAGAAGAAGAAAAAAAAGAGAAAAAAGACTGTGGGGGTTTACTGCACAGGTCGTTTACACCACAGAACACATGAAAACATGAAGACCTGAAACAGTACCCCAGTACAAAGATCATATGTTTATCTCCAACTCTTTAACCCTCAAAAGAAGACAGACAAAAAGTGCAGGGACAAGAAAAATACACAAGAAAGTGTAATTTGGCACACCTAACCTTTTATCCTGACATCATTTCAGTCAAACTAGGAATCATTTTCTCCACTGGTTAGGAATATCTCTCCCCTACCCAAACTCTTTAACACAGCGCACAGCTGCTTTTCCTCAGTCACATATGGATAACTAAAACTATTTCAGTTCTCTCATTTTTATCCTAATAGAATATTGCAGAGTCAATTCCTTCTTCAACAACCAATGCTCACACAGAACTTCTTGCTGTCACAAATTATTTGCACCTGGTTTTCTCAGTCAGCTCAAATCTCATATTCAGCCCAAAGCTGGCAATATATTGAACTCATTGGCTCGATCTGCTTTTTGTTCCACTGGTATCCCAAAAAATTCCCCACGTTACTGTTATTACCACCAAGTTTTCCATAAAGAGCACTTCAGCCCATTAAAAATTTGAGGTTTGTAGTGTCTATGCAACATTTTATTCTGTTTAGTGTTGTGAAAGTGTTAACTACTCACATTCACAAAGGCCTTTATGTTTGTTTAATCTTTTGAGAGTAAAGAACATGACAGGGTCAGTGTGCTTTACAAATATTAGAAAATTTCACAATGTTCCTTTGGGATGGCATGGTACTGTTATTATTGCCATTTTACACCTGGGAAGTATGTTTCACATGCTGGAATCACATCTGCCATGGATTTAATTTCATGAAAAAACAAAAAATTTCCATAATACAGAATCTCAAGGCAATCATTCAGAGGAAGCAGCAACACAAACTGTTAAACCACTCTCAAAAGCTCAGTAGCTCATACTGCTCATTAATCCAGACTCTCACATCAGTCCCAACCTTCTTGCTCAGCATCTCTTATCATCATCATGCAGACTTACCTCAGCTGTCTGCCCACCTGCCCTGCACCCCTCCCTCAGCCAGGCAACTTCTCATTTCTAGTCCACTGTTTGTATTTCTTTGCCCAGCAAGTGCTACAGTTCCTCTGCTTGAGCTGCTTCTGTTCTTCACACCTCTCAGACCACTCTTTACTTAACCAGTTCCAGGTTTTTCAGCCCTAGATCATCAACCTCAGCAACCCCATCCAACCAAATTCCAGCTCTCTCTTGCATCCTGGTTTCTTGTCCTCTTTCATGCCTAAATCGTTTTCATTTCTAGTAACATTAGCCATTGTTTTCCACCACAAACCAACAGCTTATTGTCAAGTCCCAGCCCATCACAACTACAACTGCTGGTTCTGCCACAGGCTTTTGTCCAAACCCTTCTCACTTTTGTCTATCTCTGAAATACATCCATTTTCTCCTTCACACTACCAGTGCAGACATCCAAGCCCACCATTCAGGCAGCCTTCAACCCCTCAGAAGCAAAAGCCCCATCCAGCCCTGAGCAGAAGCACGGTCCAGTATGCATCCAGTACTAAGTGAATTTACATACTAAACTAAAGTGACTGTACCTCTATTTCTGACCTGTAATTTTACCTGTGTATTTTGAATGCTTTCAGCATACCTTTGAGCAGACTTTACTCGGGCAGCAAAATATGTGTTCACGACACAGGCAACCCTGCTGCCAGATCTCAAGGTCCTGGTCTTACATTTGGGTGTACAAGAACAAACTGCTGCTGGAATACTCTTAGACTTGGATAGGTGACTGATTTTATTATGTCAACAACAACATAATAAAAATAAGTTTCACCCAAAAGACTAAGAATTAGCGATAACTGAACCCAGTAAATTCTTTAAACTGAAAGGGTGGGGACTGCTTACTAATAAATACTGGGTTAAATGGCTTACTGAATCTTCAGAACCCTTTCAAAGAGTTATAAAAATATAATCTATAAAGAAGGACTGTACATTATGAAACTGTAAAGAATTCAGGCACAATTCCAGTGGAATTAGTCTTAGATTTCATGAAGCATTACTCTTGGAAAAAAAACATGGCTAATATAGCTCGGCAGATAATACATGCCATTTATTATTGCACTTGATTACATATTTTTTTCTGAAAATAGTAGCGCATTCGAAGTTTCCTCAGAGAAGTTCAAATCTGTGGTTGGAAATTTGGATTACAAATGCACCGTGAAGTGCTAAGAAAGGGGAGATTTTCTTTCGTTCTCAGACATAGATAAAATATGAAGCCAGAAGAAGAAAAAAAACCAAAACTCACAAACTGATGGTATGGGTAACCTGGTTAATGTCAATTTGGCACTCCTGCTTAACTGCACTGATTGAGAGGAAAAAGTCATCAGATATTTAAAAGTTTTATTTATGCGTGTGTATGTGCATGTGCACAAATATGTGTATGCACGCCTACACATATGCTGAACTATGCAGGAAACAAGCATAAATGGTATGAAGGAAAACACTTGGTAACAGTTTTAGCCTGTATGTGGCAACGTATTTTGCCTTGAAGACAGAAATGGACTTCTAGAACTGTTTCTACAGCTCTGCCTTGGCCACCCAACAACTACCATCTGTTTTGCATTCTGAAGGAGATAGTTCTGTCAAATAGATATGATCATATAATTGATATATATCATATAATCATATATAATGATATATATGATCATGACAATGTTTGAGCACAGCATAGTTAAACAAAAATTGCATAGGAAATTACTGATTTCCTCCTTGGTAGGTTCTTGTCATTGCAACCTTAGTCTGATTTCTGACCGTTCTAACAACTCTTGTGCATATATTAGTGTGAAATTCCATGATATTATTTCTTCTTTAGTTGGCTATTCTACTGGAGCAGCAAAGCGCAGAACTGCTGTCAAAGAAGATGGACCACACTGTCTGTGACAGCATTGATGAAGTGATCTTGAACTTTGGTTGAACTTTCCTCATTATAATGTCATTATAATATAAAAAACACACCTCCTGGTAAGAAGTTACCCGCTTCCGAAGCTGATCATGCCTCAGACACTCCTCTCTAGGCATGCGTGGAAGCCTTACTCCGGACAGGCGGAGATTGGCACCTTTCCACGGGACAGAGGTGGAGTGGAGGTGAGTCCAAGGAGGAGCAAGGTGTGCTATCTAGCATAAAAGACGGTTCCTCAGTAACTGAATTTCGAAGATCTTCCCCACCAAGAGACCACAACGGTCGAAGAAGCAGCAGCAGAACGCCTTCTGGATTTGGGACCATCGGGACGCCTGTGGACCCATGGTGGTAGCTATAATCCTCTTTCCCCCCTTTTCACTTCATCTTTCCTATTCTTCTTTCTTTCTATCGCAAGCCGCTTTACAGGAAAAACCAATAAAATGATTGTGTGTTGAAAGCATAACTCCCTGGGCCTGATACCATTTCTTTTTGCACTTTGAGATCACAGCTGAAACAAGACACCGAAGAGTGGACCGTGACAGTCAGCTTTGGGTCACCTGTCCTGTTCACTCCTCCCCGCAAGCGGGACCCCTCTACACTTTTCTGCTTCCGACCCTCCAACAGGGCAAATAACAAAGGTAGCCGCCCTTGGGTGTTAGAGCAATAAGTATAAGCAAGAGCCTCTCTCCATACCATTCCTTGGCATCAACTATAAACATAGGTCTTATCACTTAGAGCAAGCAGCTTCTGCACAATATGCTATTAATTTCAGTAGTTAGAAGACACTTAGCTAAGAAGTAGTTACTGAACAGAAAATTGTTTCTGTTTTACCTCAAACCAGCACATATCCCTAGCGATATTTGGGAAGCAGCAGATGGGAAGCCATCACACAAAGGCAAAGAGAATTCACCCCTCATCAGCGCAATGCTCCTCAAAAGATCATGTCACAGTAAGTCACCATGAAAGACCATGTAGAAGAGGGAACACATGTTATACGAAAATAAAAAGCAGAGGAAACTAGACAATGTAAAAGGAAAGAACTACTGAAAACATAGTGCAAAGTAATACTTTGCTGTTTAGAACAAATGCTGATGTATCTATTCTCAGTAACAAGTTTCAAAAGAAAGATGGAAAAACACATTCTTCTGAAACTGGCAGCAGCCACATTTGAACTAAATAAAAGAGAAAAGACAAAGTTGCCTACGGACAGGTGCCTTGTTACACAATATAGTGATGGATAAATCTAAAGTACCCTACTGTGTCACGACTCCTAAAATGGTCATTTTAGATAAAGTTTAACTTCAGTTCAACATAACATGAAAAAGATGCTAGAGCACTGCATACTTACCCAGCACAATGAACTGCCTCTAATAAATTGTAGACTGCCAAGATACTTTGTAATGACTAGCCTTGGCCATTTACATTTGTAAAAAGAGAAGAAATTAATGTTTTTAACACTTCTTTTTAAAAAGTAAAAATTGTATTTACCTGTGATATTTCCCAACATATCTTTAGTGTGGCAAATCAAATCTTCACTTTCCCCATCTTTGAAGTTGCCTATTTCTCCATAATAAAGAGCAATCCCAAGTTGCATTATACGTATAAACATAGGAAGCTGCTGATCAGAGATTGAAAGTTTCAAACTTTCAACTAATGTGTGAACCTACAACATGAAAGAGAACAAAAGTAAATAATAACAAAGCTCTGTCATCATTAAAGTCAACTTTTAAACCATAAAAATCCATATTCATTTTGCACATGCATTCAAACTTCTAAAAACAAATGCTGCGATACAACAGAAGGGAAAGGGCTGCAAACAATGACTGTCAAAAACTTACATTCTTTGGGTTGCTATACAAAAAAATCTTCAGGCTGAAAAGTCAAATGTAATATATTTTGCATATATATAAACTTTTTTTTTTTAATTGTTGCTGAAGTAATTTCTAAATCAGAAGTCACATAACTGCATCTGATTAAACTTTTATTTTCATTATATCGTTTCATAAAGATCTCTGCATGCTAAAGAAAACCTAGATATATTGATTTTAATATAGCAGGTCGTTCATTTTGATTCTTTCTCACTCTCAACATTGTTGCAAGTGGACAAGTAATCGGGTGGGGAAAGAATTCATTCCAACTTAAGTGCAGAAAACCAGCTTCTCCGGATATTTCAGTTCAAATGTGAAATTATGCAGTTTTCTCTAAATGAAAACAAGCTATGCAAGAACTGTAATTACTAGGACGAAAAATTATCCTTCTTTAATTATTTTTGCTATTTTGTGCAATACTTCAGAGTAATTTTTATGAGTATGTGATCATACTATAAAGACAAAATGAGACTTTATATGAAAGCTACCTTTCATTAAAAAAGAACTGCATAAAATAAAATTCTTGTAAAAAAATTACTGTCTGTAATGTTAGACATATTTCTAGCTCCAGGTCCAGTTTCTAAATGTTATGGGTGAAAATAATGGAAGTGGAAAGTAACTACGCAGCAGCGTTGGCCTTAATGCAATCCAATTCCAGAAACATGAAAAATCACTTTATAAACAGCACTGCACATCCACAGGAAGGTAAAAATGCAGTAGTAAAATAAATTTTTGTCTAAAATATGCTAATATACTAATAACACTTCACTAATAAATTTATATGAGTAAATTTATTAATAAAGCTGCAGCCCTAGTCATACAGAATGAGTGACAATCCAGTATCAGCCATTTATATAGACTACAGGAAAGACTGTAGGTATCAGAATTCTGCTATTATTTAAAATTCTCTGAAAGATAACATGTAAATCCTAAGATACATTTTGGAAATTAAAACCCGATTCTTCAATACCAATTTTTCAGGTCCAGTTGATTAAAAGCTTTCAATAATAAAACGTTTCTGTGCAGATTAACAACAGGAAGGATAAGGAGCGAATAACTGTCTTAAGATTTAGAAGGACAAAAAAAAAAATATTTCACAAGAAGCCTTTATAAAAGTCATACAAGGGGCATATGTCATATTGAAGAAGAGGAAGGGCAGGGGGATTGGACTAGATGATCTCCAGAGGTCCCTTCCAACCCCTACCATTCTGTGAACACCAGGTAGCACTGTAGTCAATCAACGTAATTAGACAGTGGCTTAATTGAAATTATGTTACATTCCTGGACTTCTTGCATGGTATTACCCTCCCATCATGACCCTGCTCTTACATTGCCAGCAGAACTCATCTGCCCCTCAGTAAGTTGAGTCATCTCACTAAAACCAGTGGAAAACTATTTCTTTCTTCTTGTCCAGTTAGCTTTCTGTCAACACAGTGAGTTGACTTAGATGACTGACAGATCAGACAAATGTCAGTGCCGCTACAAACACGGGGAGGCAGGACTGACATCCCCAGTGCAAATCAGCTCATCCATCTCACCATTGTCTCATCCCATGATGATTTCAACAAGAAAAGCAACAAAAAACTTAAAACTCTAATAATTTCACATGTGTTTTGCTGCCCACATATACTACTTTCATTCTAAAATTGAAAATAGGAGCTTAGCGTTCCCAATTTAACAGCATACAAATACATATTCAAGTCCTTCAGAACTGTCCTCCTTTGAGAAGTCTCAACTTAAACTCATTCAGATTAGTTTGGCCAAAACTTTGCAATAGACATAGCAGTCAAAATCATACAAGTTATAAAAATATTCTAGTCCCTACAGAGAAACCAGAAGAGCATACGCTATTACAAATGTGGAAGTCTTGGAAACTTTCATTCAAGACCAAAAAGCAGATGTGCTTTACCAAGTGAATAACAGAGAGTATCAAAGTTTTCATTTAAAGGATTTTCACAGATTTGGAGAAAAAGATTGAGTGCTACTGGCTTTTATCTTTAGCTGGGAAACAAAACATGACAAGAAAAACTGCTGGCATTCAGTGATCTACCCTTCAGACGCACTGAAGCTACAGCAATTTCATTTGCAGCGGAGACTTTTAAAAAGCTTTAACAATCCTTGAACTGATTCCATTAATGAAGTAGTTATATTTACTGACAACAACTCCTTTTACTTCCATTGTAAGAAACTAGTTATGACCATTCAATAGTTAAATATTTTAAAAACAGTCTTGCTAAATAAATGCATTCTGGTGATCCACAGCAATCTCCATGCATACAACAAATCAGAAAGTTATCAAACGCAAAATTTGTGAAGGTCAAAAGATTTGTAGATCTAATCCTTACATAACAGTATGGTAGTGAAATACTAGAAAAGATTAAAGATTAAAAAATCTTTACCTTTGGATCATTATTCTTTGGACCATAATAAACAATTATTAACTCACTTTAATATTAATCTAGCATCATATATCTAAATGTTTTTGTTTAATTGAGCACATTTCTGAACATCTTCATAAACAGCATTTTATGTTTGAAGATGAAGCGAAAAAGAAAAAAGAAAGAAGAAAAACTAAAAAAGAAAAACATACGTAAATTATGTGCAACACAACCAAAAAAAATATCAGAATATACAAGAGAAAAAAAAAAGATAAAAGACATCTTTGAACAAGCTGAAATGTGCCTTAAAAAGGGCAGGGGCAATGAATGGCCGCTAACAAAGATATCCAGAAAAGTTTAATACAAATTTAATAAAATTACTACTACCTCAGTGCACTCTAGTATGTGTTTTATTGTAGTCCAGTATCCATTAAAAATTTTAAGTAATAATATACTAATCATCACCATTTTTATAACAACAGTACAATTTTAAACTATATAGAAGATCGTGTCAGCATTTCCATTAAAGTGTGCTGTCAGAGACTTGTAATTTGTCCATAAACTTTTGTTCTGCATTAAAACATGGCCTATAGGACTTCAGCTAGGTACAGATTGCTTCTCCAAAATGTACAGAACTAATTGGCTAATTTAAAAATCAGGCTTTTTAACATTAAGATTTACTGTCTATATGCAGTCATAATACTGTCAGCACAGAGCATAAAGACCATAACTGGTAAACTACAGACAGTCATATGATGATTCCTTATTATTACTGGACTACATATAGATTCTGAAGTTATAAAGCACGTGGTTAAGTCATAGTATCACTGAATATATAAATTCTTGTTTATAAAACTCAAAAAAGCAAATTTCCAAAATAGTGAAATTTCTGCAAACATACATACTACCACACATGTGTGTGCAAGTATCCAGCATTTTGTGACAATTCTTATGTGGATAAATACTCATATGGCCATTACCATATCCACAAATCTCCAAATTTGCCCAAAGTAATCAAAGGCACAGAGCTGTACAGCACATAAAGGAAATGCAGGCATTTGACCAATTGGACGTAATTACTAATTAACTCTTAACTTGAAGTTCTCAACAGCTTAGGACTTCCTGAATCATAAGTGAGTCAAATAAATGCAGTATCCTAACTGAAAGAGTGACACTTCTAAATTATATTCTTGAGAAATATCCTCCAAAATTTATCTCAAAAATTACTATTTTGCAGTGCATGCACCTGAAGATTATTTTTTATTAAAACTTGGAGAAAACCTAGTATAAAGTCTGCGTCTGAATTTAAAACAGTCCTCAACTAATGAAATGGGCACCACTGGTATTCATCGAGAGAGGGAAGGAGGGAGAGAGAGCTTACATGTATTACTACTCAGAACAGGGGAAGGGAGTGAGGAGGAGATTGAAAGGTAGTTTAGTCTCTCTACCAACTCAGCACTTTGCTTCTGCAGTGCAAAATGTGAAGATGTCACCCAGTCTCAGATGTCCATGAGTAATATTGCATCCCTGCTCACTAGGAACTGGGCTTGGCTTGCTAATCCATTTCACGTGGTTCACTAAATAGTGTTAATACACTGAAGTTTCTTGTTATTTATTAAGAGTCTGACCTACATTTGAAACTGTAACGTAAGTAAAAAGTCCGTTCCATCTTATTGGAGTCACCTTAAATCATACAGTATTTTCTTTGACAGATTATTTGCAGACATATTTCTTCTCCTTACAGTTATTACGTCTTCTTTTTTAAAAATTCAAGAAAAATAGAAAAAATTAGAGAGCATTACTTCCTTACATGCTGCTACTGTACACAGACTAATTGCAACATATGAACAAAATCAAAAAATCCCTTTAGCAAAACCTAAGACCATTAGCTTTTCATTTTACTTTAAATTTCAAAATATATTTTGAAAAACCACAAAACTTCACAAGTGAATAGTAAAAAAAAAAAAAAAAAATCATTTCAGATACCTACTTTAATAATAGATGGCATTTTGGAGTTGAGGTTATCGTAAGTAAAATGCAGACGAGTCCTGAAGGAACATTTGTACAGCAGAGGTTCCTGGTAAAATTCAATTTTACCACTAGCATTTCTCTTATCAAGACATACTGTGCAGTCAGAAAAGTTGATCATCTTTCTCAGTACCAGATCTGTGGCTTTTAAAAGAAGCATATGGGTTAAAAAAATATATTGCATAAGAAAAACAAGTTACACAAACATGTTCTTATCTAGAGGAAAACAATGTAAGATAATGACCACACAACTATCTAAATCATCAGCAAAGTACTTGCTTACATGACTAGAGAATAATTTAACGTGTTACAGATTTTTTCAGCTGAATACTTAAAAAGCGAGCACAAACTCATTACACGCAATTCAAATTTTCATCCCTTCACTGTACCTTAGATCTGTTTATAAAATAAAACCACTGCTTCATGTGCAAGCATAAGACCAATAAATATTATTCTCATTATTCTCCCAGAAAGAATCTTGTGTATTTTCCCCAAAAGTTTTTTTTTTAATCTTCCAAAGCAAAAAGGAGGTATTACAGTGATCTGAACATGGAACATATTTTGTAATTTTGTCATGTGAGTTTGTAATAATTTTAGCCAGAACAAAGCAATGGGTCTGGTGGTCAGGAAACCATTAAATTCCCCGTTGTACCAGAGATGATCTGTATGATCTTAAAATACGCTTACTGCACCCAAATTCCACTTCTACCAGATGTCAGTAAGACCACCTAGACTTACAGGTGAACAATGATAATTCAAAGACTGAGACATTCAGATACTGAAGACCAAAACAAAAATCAAAATTTGGGGTCTTTTTTTTTCCCTGAAAATGAGAAGCAAAATGAAGCAGGTCATGCAGTTGGTATGATATGCTCATTACTGTGCAGCACGTCTTACTAACTCTCCAGCCAGCCTGTTTAGAGAGTTTTAAGATCATCACAAACAATTGCAATGGAATGCCTTAAGACGCTACTGCTCATTCACAAAAATAGAAACAGATTGCCTAAGCCCTCCCCTCCACCAGCAAGAACAAAATGAAATGTAATAACAGAAGGACAGCAAGTATGAGCAGAGAGGACTTCTAAACATGTTGCATAATTATCTGTGATCATACAAGTATGTGTTAAGAATCAATCTATATTATTATAATTGGCTTTTCAAAATGAAGGAGAACGGAAAAACTCATAAGAAATGAAAACAGGCAGAAAGTACCTCACTTCTGACATAAAGAGCCATTTCTATTAAACTTGCGAAAATTTCTTTATGGAATTAAGTGCCTCCAGTGTGATACCTAAAACAAAAAAAAAAAAAAAAATCTACTCACCAGAAATGTCCATAAATGCTCGATCCCAAAACTCATCCACTGTATAGCATTCTGCAGAAGTGATATTGACTGAGAGAACAATATCATCCTCCACGTATTTTAATATGAGATTGTTGATCACAATGTTGACGTTGTTCACAACACGCCTAATCAAACTCTGAACATAACCTATAAAATAAAACAATTTCTTAGGAGTTAAGGAAGACATGACACCAAATTAATTTATTCCTAAAGTAACTCTTTCCAACTTGTACCCTTTTTTAAAACCAAAATTAAAACAAACCAAGTATCATTGTCCTTTATTTATCCAAAAAAAATAATCACATTATTAAAAAAATAATCACATTATCAAAAAAACCTCTAACATTCAGTGCAGTTCAGTCAATCAGCACCCTGGAAATGCAATAACCTATAGGAAAACACACCTGTAGATACTAGGAATATAATATAGTGTAAGAGATGAATTTTTGGTGGGAAGAATCAATTTTCAAACTAATAAGAAAACAGAAGACTGGATTATTGTAGACAAAGAATTTTAATGACAGTGACTTTTTTTTACTTAAAAGATATTTAGAAATAGGTTTGGAAAAGTGAACACGAGTTGCTAGGTTACTTTTCCAGTATGCGTATATTACACCTATGTGCCCCCTCACCTAGCTTATTTAAAAGTTAACTAAACCTTAATTATTTTCATTCTAAAAGCTAATATATCCACATCATGCTCAGTAAGACCCCTGTGAGGTATAACAAAATCAATTTCTGTCAACAACCCAAATAGTAAGCACCTGCACTGAAGCCTGTTGGGAAGAAATCCATTTAAATTTTTTCAGACATAATGTGATTGGAAAAATGACCCCGTCTGCGAATTCCCAGTATGCAGTAAACACTCGTATTTTACCAATATGGTAAAGAAATCAAATACTAACCATATTCATGTCTTTTATGTATACTGAATGTAACTATGGAGCTAACTCATATGTGCTGGAAAAAAAACAAGTCTTAAAATTTCTATGTTTTAAAATTTATAACATTATTCACATTCTATCTAAAAATATATTTAAGACATGCTACAGAGTTCTAGTTTGGTAACTACACCGAAGAAAAGCCAGTTAATGATACAGGTTTAAGTCCACACCCTTCAGGAGTAGTTTTCTGAAACTTGAGTTAAATAAAACTTATTTACGTCAACAATTTTAATTCAAATAAAAGTTAAAATGAACATCAAAACATTGTGAAGATCAGTAGGAGCAGACTCAGGTTGCTACCTCCATTCCGCTCTGCTTTTTCTAGCTATTCATCGTTTTCACACTCAAATATCACTTTTCACCTTGGAGTATATGGAACATTTTACCATTACATAAGTGATTTTCTTGAGTTCCACACTGCAAATTTACACAGTTGACAAAAGACACCTTGCCCTTTCCAGCATTCAAAGCCTCCAATCACCTCTTTTATTAAATGCAAAACATGCTTTCAGCTACCATTAGCAGAATATTTTGATTCTGATCTGGTGCATTTCTAGGTTTTAAAAGTATTTCAATATTAAAATCTTAATTGTAAAATACATATCACATTTCTTATCACAACTCAGCTTGCTTCATTTTATACTATTCTTGAGCATATGTCACCCTTTGAGTAAAGTGAGTTCCACCAGGACAGAAATAGAATTTTAACATCTCCTGCCACCTTCATGGGATTGTAATTCTATTAAAACAAACTCTGGAAAATGTTTTAGACCACTGTCTACAGAAACAGAAAATCCAGAAATGCAGTGGAAGTCAAAATTTTGACAGCTGAGTACTGTCAGATTTCTAACATAATCTGAATTTACTGTTTTAGCATATCAGTCTAAAAAAACTACTGAAAAATATGTGGAAAAACTTGTTTTACAGAATTCTCTCACTGACTTATTGAAATGGTATCATATTTTTAGGTTATGTTAATTCAGAATACCATATGTATTATTTCAACAATTAAGGGGCATAAGAGACTCATTCATCACTACAGTGGTGTAAACTGACCTGTATATAACTAGAAGCCAGCAAAAAGCATTTAGTTGCTATTCTTAAGTTCAGCATAGAAATATTTTTCAGACAATATAACTAGCAACTATAAAATCATAACCTGTAATTTAATTGATTTTAAAGTGAGTTACTGATTTCATTGAAGCAAGTGAAGCTGCCCCACCACATGTCCAAAGTTTTTTCAATATTTTGGTTTCAAAGGTCTTTCAAAAAAATCAATCTAATTTACATTTTCCTGCTGTGAACAACCAAACTGTTACAAATCCAACATCATAGCAGAAAAACAAAAAACTTCTGATAGTTTCTAGCAGTATTCAGGAAAAGAATAACAACGCTTTCATCTGTATGTCTTTTTGCCTGAATGTATAAAAAGAGGGAGCGGAATTATATCTACCAAATGAAACAGGGGTCACAGATTTGATTAAAACTTTGTTTCCCACTTCCATGGAGAAATTTCCAAACTAGTGGCGCAGTATATTGTTAAAAGTACCATCCATATATCAGCTTTCTAGTTAAGTTTAGCTTCAAATATGCTAGAATAAAACTCTCATGAGTGAGGAACAGTCTTTTACAAAAATTAAATTTAAATTGTAGTTCTTACTATTCAAAACAAACTAATAAAAACATCAGCAAGTTCATGTATAATACAGTTTAGAGAGAAAAAAAAGCCGGGTGTTGTTTTAAATACAAGTGGGAGTAAACAGGTGGGAGTTGCTTCTTATTCCTGTAATTTTTAAATATAACACTATGACATCTTTCCCACTAAAATTCAGGTACTCTATGATGAAGTGACTAAAAATACTAGAAAATCTGAATGGGTAAATTCTCTCCTGAGGTGCAACACAAAATCCATGTGCATGCTTTTTCCAAATTCTTCAGAACCCAGCAGGCTGCACCATGCAGTAAGAGCTATAAATGCAGTTTCAGACCCAGCCCTCCACAGAGTGGTCTATTGATTCAACAGAATTGATGTCATTAGACTGGTCACATCTAAACATCTTAAGTTTAGCAGCGCTCTATTGTTACCAAAGCTACCTTTTTAGCTAAGCTCTGTCTAGCGCCATCTCTGAGAACACAGCAGAGCTAAAGGACAAATAAACCTTTCAACAAATTACAACAGTAGTATGATAACTATAACCTCCATAGACTAAAACAAATCTAAGTAGATGACTCAACACCTTACTAAAATCCAGGATGTGCAAATTAAAACTTACCAAAGCCATACCCTATACCACAGAAAATAAATTCTTCTTATAAGGAGGCCTCTACTCCTCATGGAGGCTGCTTACCACATAGGACCTCTCTATTAAACAGCATTATTTATGCATAAATGAAAAAATCAACTGTATTTAGAGAACTCTGCCATATGGAAAGAAACTTACAGTCCATTCAATAAGGTAAGATTTTACTAATTCTCTCTGAATCATTAGACTTCATTACCAACATACTCTATGTAGTTGAAGAAATGTGATGACAATGAAGGAGGTGACAGTGCTCTACGGTTTCACAGAAGCACAAAGTACATCTACGGAATCTATCAAATATGAACATAAAAAGGCAGCTGATCTGATAATTTGCTACAGTACTGCAAACACAATAAGTTGAATTCGTATGAGTGCACTAATCATTAAGAACCACAATATATTCATAAAAGATGCCACGCAAACCAATTTTCAATGCATATGTTGCATCTGGATCTGTGGAAACGCATCTTTTGGAATGCTTTACCTTCATCAGATGTCAACATTACAATAAGCAGACCTTCAGCCTTTCACTACAACTAAACCTTTCTGGGATGTCCACAGGTAACACTGACAGAGACAAGCTTGAGGAACCAAAATCCCAAAACTGTCACTAAAGCATACAACCATCCAATTCTTTGGTGAGCCTTTGAATCCTGTTGTTCACAGATGAGATCCAAAGAACCAAACACCAAGGAACTGCCAGAGGTGAAGCGCTGTCCATGGTAGGAAAGGGTGGATGCCAGGAGTCCTGCAATTCCAAGCCACTGGAGTTTACTGGATCACAGAGATCCAGTAAACTGGCTCCTCAGCTACCCATTCCAAAGCAAGATGATACTCTGTAGTACATAATATTCCACACACTAGTAAGTATAAACTTTCTGTTAAGAAAAGACAGAAAAAAAGCCTAATACAAAACCGTCATGTCTTTAACCCATCTCAAATTACATGCCCCAAGAAGGCAAATTGCAATAGATTTCACTACTCTCCAATTTCATTTTTCTGCACAAAATTCCACCTCAAACTCCAAATTTGTGTGCATACTCAGAGGCAATAGTAATCAGATATATAGTTCCTTAGGCATTTTTATATCATATAAGTATCACCAAGTTCAACTGAGCCAAATTCCACATCAGAAAAAAGTGAACATCTACACCTGTAGATACAGGACTCGATAAGAAACATCTCTCAGAATTATTACTCTCATAAAGAGAAAAATATCACCTTTAAAGCTATAAGAATTTGAAGAGAAAACGTTTAAAAACATACAAGAACAGAACTCAATGTGAACCACTCAGTAGTTGAAAAAAGTGATCTGAAACAGAAGAACCCGAGCAGCAGAGGATAAAATCTAACTAGCTACCCATAGAGTATGTTTCTCATGCTAATCTATCTTGTGCTATAAATGAGTTCTCTACATTTAAGGATTCAACAAAATGGAAGGAAAAGATGTAAAGACTAACTATGTTTTATTGCAATTTGGTTCTATTTTATAATATTCAAGTATTTCACTCACCTTTACATGATTTGTAGGTGGACAGAGATGTAATAGTCTAACTTAAACACTGGGGCCACCTGAATGAAATTTAGGTATTTTCTATCACTCAAATACAATCCAGCTTCTGAAATTATGGATTACCTGGAGGTAAGTCAGGGTCAGGAGAAGCAGATTGCTGAACTCGTCGTGGTTTTACTGCTGATTTCATGCTTTCCGTAGTACTGCGGTTTGTTGAACTGGAACCACAACTTTCGTGGTCTTCCTGCAAGAGGAAAAGAAAGCAAACAAGTCAACCAAAGAAAAAGGAAACTAATATGGGAAGAGCAACTTGGTAAAGATTTGGTAAATTAAACTTCCTTTACTGCTATTCCATCTATTCAATCCTGTACATGCATACAACTACAGAAATTATTACAAAAGTAGCTCAAAAACATACAAAATTATTTTGAATTAATACTGCCACTAACTTTTATTAAAAAAAACCCCAACCTGTCATTTAATTATTGATTTCCATTAAACACATTTCATCTAGTGGCATTTCAGCTGAAACAAGCCTTCAAACAGAGACAGAGCCCTGCAGACTACCAAAACAAATGAGAGAAACTACTGAATTTTATGAGCTTACACGCCTTCTCATGAAACCACCTCAGATGGTTCCAAGATGTCAGTAATGTCCTTCCTAATACAGCTAACTGAAACTGATTCAGAACAAAAATATTTTTGTAGACATCTAAAATAGTAAAACATGGCCCCAGAAAAGATAAATGAACTGAGGGCACCTGCTCATCTTGAGCTTCTATATAGCTTATACACCTTAAGGAATTCAGAAGAAGGAAACATGGCTCATAATCAGAAAATATGATATATTTTCATAGACAAAATTTCAAAGACAAAATTTGCAGACACAAGAGAATCTTAGCTGAATTTAGGGTTTTAAACATCCCACTAGTATTCCCATTACATTCCAGAATGATAGTTTAACTACAAGACTCAAGTGCAAGAAAGCCAAGAAAAGTAAGGTACATATTCTTGAAAGTGTATTAGAAGAGCAGGTTAGAGAGGAAGAAAATTCTTACAACTTTTGACCCAAGCCAAATTACGTCTTTGAAAGATGTAGTCTCTTGCAGAAAAAGAGCAAAATGCTCTCTGGGTCATGGCACTACTGGGATGACACAACACGTTCACAAAAAGAAGGTTTCAGGGAACAAATGTCAAGTGCCACAGTATGAAGCTATAATATTCCTAAGTCCTCTAACCACCAAAAAGCAAACAGCTTAAACTGTGCTGGTTTGGGCTTTTTTGGTTTTTTGGTTTGGTTTTTTTTGTTTTGTTTTTGTTGTTTTTTTTTTTTTTTTTTACAGGATAGATCATGTGTTTCCCTGCATGCTGCCTGGCATTTTTAATAATCTCAGAGAAATTACAAAATGGAATCTTCATATTACTTGCTTCTTAATGCCTTTTGCATAAAGAAAAGAAAGTTACGTGTAATGATAGATTTTAAATAGAAGTTGACAACTTCAAAATCAATTGAAAAGATAATTTCTCTCCTTCAACTCCATATTTAGAAAAACAGAACACAGAAGGAAATTCTCTGATAAAGTGGAAAAACCATTTCACTACAAAAAAAAAAGCAATATAATCTTAGGGGGTTGGGGGTGGGGAGTGGGGTAGCAGACCCATAAGCCTGAACGTATTTGGAGAAATTGCAGAAGACACCCATTCATACATTATAAGGGTAGAAGACAACTTTAAAAAAAAAAAAAAAAGACGAGTTACCATAAAGAATTTGAGATTTTCCATTCATTAGTATTGAATTGAAACAAGCTGTTTGTTGTTTTTTAATTTATGGTTATTTGGCCATTCAATCATACAGAACTTGAAATGAATGGGGTGTTTATCATCAATGTTGTTTGGAGAGTGTTTGCTTTCTTATCTCTGACAACCTTCTGATGCTTTTCGTCAAGGAATGTGAGTCTCCTGAAGACTCTCTCAGAACATCTAACTACAGTGCACTTTCATCACAAGCCACTGCTATCTTCATGGCATACCTGAGCAATAACAGCAGCTTGAAGCTCTTGCTTTATCTTTAAACCTGGGGTGACAGAAGCCTTTTCATCAGCATATATATTTTGTAATCAGAAAAGCTCACCTCTCCTTCACATCACCAGCTTACCGAGAAAAATTAGATCATAGACTTTTAAGCTAAAATTTTTGAAATAACTTTAAAAACATGCCGTGTGGCACAAAAAATATTTTTTCAGATGAGTCACCACACTGCTATTTTTGTGTTGAACTTACCAAAAAAACCCTGAGAGTCAGAGCGACCAAACAGCTCAATTAGCATACTTCCTTCTTTCCTGAGCTCACTTATGGATTGTACAGAATGCTGTGGTACGGGTACTTAATGATTTGATCTGATAGGATCACATTACGCTTGCCTTTTAATATTTATGTTGGCTACGAGAAAAAGAAAGGGGGGCCAAGGCCACGGGGAAGGCATTCTGTTTTTGAAGTGTTAACTGTATCAAGCCTGACTACATTCACAGAATCACAGAATGGTCAGGGTTGGAAGGGACCTCTGGAGATCATCTAGTCCAACCCCCCTGCCAGAGCAGGGTCACCTACAACAGGTTGCACAGGACAGCATCCAGGCGGGTTTTGAATGTCTCCAGAGTGGGAGACTCCACAACCTCTCTGGGCAGCCTGTTCCAGTGCTCCACTACCCTCAAAGTAAAGAAGTTCCTTCTCATGTTAAGATGGAACTTTCTATGTTCAAGCTTGTGCCCGTTACCCCTCGTCCTATCACTGGGTTCCACTGAAAAAAGACTGCTCCCATTCCCCTGGCATCCTCCCTTTAAGTATTTGTAAGCGTTAATAAGATCCCCCCCTCAATCTTCTTTTCTCCAGACTAAAGAGACCCAAGTCCCTCAGCCTTTCCTCATATGAGAGATGTTCCAATCCCCTAATCATCTTCATTGCCCTTTGCTGGACCCTCTCCAGCAGATCCCTGTCCTTCTTGAACTGGGAAGCCCAGAACTGGATGCAGTACTCCAGATGTGGCCTCACCAGGAGGAGGTCAGCCCCCAACCTGTACTGATGCATGGGGTTATTCCTCCCCATACGCAGTACCCTACACTTACCCTTGTTGAATTTCATCAGGTTTCTCTCTGTCCAACTCTCCAGCCTGTCCAGGTCTCGCTGTAAAGCAGCACAGCCTTCCGGCGTGACAGCCACCCCTCCCAGTTTTGTGTCATCAGCAAACTTGCTGCTGGTACACTCTATCCCTTCATCCAGATCATTGATGAATATATTGAACAGGACTGGACCCAGTACTGACCCCTGAGGGACACCACTTGTTACTGACCTCCAACTAGACTCTGCACCACTAACCACAACCCTCTGAGGTTAGTTAGTTCAACCCTCTGAGTGGTTAGTTAGTTCAAGTCTAACTTTTCTATCTGCGTACTGACATAACCATGTTCAATGAATCTTACCATAACTTCATGCAAAATCATAGAATGGTTTAGGTTGGAAGGGACCTTGAAGATCATCAAGTTCCAACCCCCCTGCAATAGGCAGGGTGAACTTCCACTAGCCCAGGTTGCCCAAGGCAACGTCCAGTCTGGCCTTGAACACCTCCAGGGATGGGGCCTCAACAACCTCTCTGGGCAACCTGTGCCAGTGCCTTACCACCCTTAAAGTGAAAAAATTCTTCCTAATGTTTAATCTAAACCTGCCCTTTTCCAGTTTAAAGCCATTCCCCCTCGTCCTACCACTACATGCCCTAGTAAAAAGTCCTTCTCCAGCTCTCCTGTAGGCCCCCTTTAGGTACTGGAAGGCCACAATAAGATCTCCCTGGAATCTATGTGATGTTTTAATCATGTAGAGTATTATACGCTAGGACGAGGGGGAATGGTGTCAAACTGGAAGAGGGTAGATTTAGATTAGATATCAGGAAGAAATTTTTCACTATGAGGGTGGTGAGGTACTGGAACAGGTTGCCCCATCCCTGGAGGTGTTCAAGGCCAGGCTGGATGGAGCTTTGAGCAACCTGGTCTAGTGGAAGGCATCCCCGCGCATGGCAGGGGGGGGGTGGAACTAGATGATCTTCAAGGTCCCTTCCAACCTAAACTATTCTATGATTATTAACACTTAAAGATGAAATAGCAGTGGTTTAAGCTTTTATCACTTTCCGTGAGTAAGGAATACACACTAGCACACTGGGTTTTGAGCGGTTTTGTTTGTTTTAAAGCAAAGAGGAGGAGAACCCTTAGATTGTGTAAATTTTGAAATAAAGTCTCAAATATTAACCTATAAATAAACTCAACACAATAAGCTTTTTATATTTTCCTGAACTACAAGTCTGTTGTGATGGAAAATGGTTGCAACCATTTAGAGCAAGTTCGACCTAAAAGTAATCAAAACAAAAATGTACATGTTCCAAGATGGTGCCAAAATACAACACAAAAATTTATCTCAGAAATATACCTATGTGACTTAATCCACATGAAGTAACAGAGTATACCTCCTAAGTTTAAGAAGAATTCAACCTGACCAAACATTTGAAAAAATTTTTTTTAATCTGGGATAACATCCATTCATTTCCTTACATTACACAATTATCAAAAAAGTTTTAGAGCTGCATGGGGGTTTTTTGAGCGTGCACACACCATTTTTCACAACAGCTACTGATACTTTATAAAGCAAATGTTGTATTCTTTAATTACTGGAAGATGATAACAGTGGCCATGACCTTATAGGAACTACACTCCTATGTAGATGTATAACCAAAAGCTTTCTGTATTTAAATGCTTCTGCTCAATGTTAACTTTAAGAGCACACTATTAATTTCTCAAACATGTGGCTGTCTCATAAGCCCAAAAGTAAAACATGTTCATTAAAGAGATGGGAAAAAGTTCCAAGCAAACTGCCAAAACTAGCATAATTATGAAACTATTTAACACTGGAACCAACTAGAGTCACACACTGTGTCTAGATCACAGTGATGTCATCAGAAACACCCGGCCAAAAGGCACTAAAACTACTGCGCTCTCATAAATCCACCTCACACCAGATGACAAACATTTTAGAGTTAAAGTCAAAATTATACTGGGGCTGGGAAGGGAGTTACATTCCAAAAGTGCTAATAACTATAGTTATAGTATGAGATTTGATAAATGCCCATTCATTTTACCATTAACAAGAGTGATTCCAAACAATAATCACAACAGTGGAAAACTAAAAATATTCATGACGTATCTA